CAGCGCGCATCGTTCGTTATCACGATCTTGGGACGGTGGAGCATGGGGTGGCAAGCGTCTCCTCCTTGTGCACACGCCGATCCAAGATCCCTGACCGGGCTGCATTGCCCACTCTGACCGACAAAGACTGGGAATAGACTCCAACTCTCTAGACCGTTCGGTTCAGCCCAGTATTACCGCTAGACTCGTAGACCAGAGAATGGGGCTTGGATCCTGGACCCCCTCGTGGCAAAGTTCATTGGCTCCCTGTCCATCCCATTTCCGGAACATGGAGAGCTGAGAATTGAAGTCAGGAAGACATCATGCCATCTGGCGGTGCTCATTGGTAAACTCTTTTTCTCGGCTAGTATAGCGGAACAGAATCCCGTACAATAGTCTCGTTTCGTGGTTGAGGAAGGAGGGGTCGAAGGGCAATTTCTAAGAATTAATAATAAGAAAAGTCAAGAAGAATAAGCAAAAGTGGGAATTGAAGTTGAAGCCCGAGATGGACCGCGGCATTTGCTCAGGTGAGTGGGAATGGGAGATGAGAAATTGTAAGAAAGATGGAGTCAAACACGCGGGCTGTGGGCAGATGGTGCGATGTACCTGCACGCATCGGGAAATACCCTGCCTCAGGACGTCATGCACAAGGCAGTCAAGCCTCATGCCTCGCATGGGTCGGCTCGTCTTCACCTCGTTGGACTTCACCTTCCCTTCCCTTCCCTTCCGTCCGTCGCCTTGTGAGAGGTGCGCCTCTCGGATATCCCCTTGCTCCACTATAATTCATTCGCCCACGAGATGCCTTTTCTCTGAGAGTATATTATTATCCTACCTCGAGGTACCGGGACTTCCCTTGTTCCTGGTCATTCATCTCAAAACACATACTCTTTCATAACATCGTCGCACATACATACCTTCATACCCTCATCCTTGTGTCCCTCCACCTGATTCTCCGTGATACGCACGGGCATCATCCCTCCTCCACCTCACTTTACTCTCATCTCCTCCTCGCATCCTCTCCCAAGCAACCATGTCGCTGTCAGAGAAGAGTGCCATCTCAACTCCCCCTGCAGCCGTGTGTGCGATGGGCTCGTCAAGGTCCAGTGATGCCACACTGGCAGATGCCGTCATCAAGACTATTCCTGAGAAAGTGGAAGAACACCCACAGGTCGAGGGGTCCTTTGACGTCGAAGCTCAGGCCACCAAAGCAAGAAGGTTCCCCTTCATCCGCTTCACCCTTCTCGATATCTATCGTCGTCTTTTCAGCTTGGTCTTCATGGCCAACGTCGCGGTCTTCATTGCCGTTATGGTATCAGAACGCAAACTCATTTCCCTGGTGAATGCTACCGCTGCCAACCTTCTCGCTTGTGGTCTGGCACGTCAACCCCTGGTGGTGAATGCCATCTTCTTCACCGTGTGCTCGATACCCAGGACTGCCCCGCTAGCGATTCGTCGGATTGCGTCGAAGGTATACCACTATGGCGGCGTCCATAGCGGATGCGGGATTGCTTCGTTCGTCTGGTACGCGGGCTTTGTGGGCTTGATGTCCAAAGACTACTGGTCTCCGGCGGCGGGCGTACCTGCAATCTCGGCCGCTCCGGTGGCTGTGGCCTATGTCATCTTGGTCTTGCTGTTGATCATCATCGTGGTCGCATATCCTGGCTTCCGCTTCAAGAAGCACGATTATTTCGAACTCACACATCGGTTCTCCGGATGGCTCGTCGTCGCGCTGTTCGTGGTCCTGCTCTTCCTCTTTGTGAATGAGCTCAGTGAAGATACAGGTGTACCTTTGGGTATCTTCTTGATCAAATTGCCTGCCTTTTGGTTCCTCATGGTCACTGTCGTGGCCATCATTCACCCATGGGTTTTCCTTAGGAAGGTCCCGGTGAAGTCAGAGTACCTCTCTCCCCATGCCGTCAGACTGCACTTCAACCACACCACCACCACCTTCGGGAAGGGCATCCAACTAGCCAAGCACCCTCTTAAGGACTGGCACGGCTTCGCTACCTTCCCAGACCCCGACGGGAAGAGCTTCTCAGCCCTCGTATCCAAGGCCGGAGATTGGACTGCGGGGTGTATCAAAGACCAGCCTACTCACCTGTGGAAGAGAGGAACGCTCATCTATGGCTTCGCGTACGCCATGCGAGTCTACCAGAGAGTTGTCGTCGTCACCACGGGCTCCGGCATCGGGCCCTGTCTCTCCTTCCTGGGTGATGAAAACCGTCCTTATCTCCGCGTCGTATGGCAGACCCGAGCTCCGCAGCGCACCTATGGCAAGGAAGTTCTCAACTTGGTAAAAAGGATGGATCCCAACCCGGTCATCATCGAGACAAACCAGTCCGGTCGTGTTGACATGGTGCCTATCATTCGACAGCTCTATAAGGAATTCAATGCGGAGGCCATCTGCGTTATCAGCAATCCGTTTGTGACGAAGAAAGTCGTTTATGAGTTAGAGTCAAGTGGCTTACCTGCGTTCGGTCCTATTTTTGATTCATGATCTGGTTCATCATGTTTGATTTCTTTTTGGTTCTTCGTTCCATATTTTTGATCTTGCTTTTTTATCTTTATTTTTTTACCTTCCTCTTTTTCCAGTGTCTTATGGACGGTTGATCCGAAGAGCGAAAGGCGCAGGGCGAAAGAAATAACATCTTGACTACCCCAAAATGTACTGTACATACATACATAGTTCATTGAAACAAAGGAAATGGTTCACACAAACTACAATTGCGTCAGCCCGTCAGGCTGAAAGGAAAAGGTAAACCCATTCCAATTCAGACAAACATTCCCGGTTGCTGTGAGGCTGCCCCCGGCAGACAGGGATGAGGTGACACGGCTTTTCTTACTTGCAGCTCTGCCGCCGGGAATGTAGGCGATCGCTTGGCTTGTGCATCGACGAGTTAGATCCGACGGACTTGTTCGGAAGAGATATCTAACTGAGAATAGAGAGGAGGGGAGGCAAGAGAGCTGAGAGTTGGTGGACGGCTGACTACGAGTCATTGAAGGGGTGGCGGAAAGTATGTTTGTTATTTGTCTCAGACATCCCCACGTAGATGGTGCACTAGGTGAGGGATTCATTCTTTTTACGTGTTGGAGAAATTCCTCAATGGTTTAATTGATATCATTTTTAACCTTCTTATTGATCTAAAAAGTACTCATGATTAGAGAGGCACTTTTGGCCACGAGAAATGCGCTGGAAGAAATGTGCTCATATCACTGATTGTATGGCCGTTCTGAATGGCAAGCCCGACAAAATACATCGACACTGACAAGACCATAAGGGGATGACTAGTGTTGCATTCAGCTGAGGTACGCTGCTGGCAAGAGATAGCTGATTGCATTTCGGATAGTCGTCTCTGTTCTTTGGGCAAGGTATCCTCGCCAACGAAGTGGCCGTGAGAGGATGGAGAACCGAGAGCTCGGTAAGCTAATGCAAATGGAATCATCTGCTCACATGCGGCGACGACAAACACACAGACAAGTTTGTCGAGAACAAAGAATCCATAGGATAAATTCGCTCGTGGTATGTTCTGACAGCGTGGCTGTGTGCTGTTTGTTATGGCACTGAGTTGTGAGAATGACTAGGTCGGCGTTTCTCGGCTTCTATCTCTGAAGGCAAAGGATGAAATTATCGGTCGTGGACAATTGGAAGGATTGGCTGGTTTCTTTCTAAGTTCAGTACTGTGAGTATCCTGAGCACGTCTATTGGAGAAATCTGCCTGGATGCCCGCGAGATCACCTATACGTCCCTGGCAACTCTTCCAGTTTGTCGGATTTAACCACACACCCAGTAGAGCCAAAGAACCAAGTCATCGTACCGTTCTAGGCAGAGCCATCCTTGGACAAACAAAGAATGCAGTAATGTGAGACTGTAGACCATGTTGGTCTGGGTTTCGAATGACAGCGGCAACGAAGCAACGTTCAGGTCTTGTGTCCAATGTCCTTCAGATCAAGCATCTTGTCCTGCGTGCAATGATACCTGTCGAGATTCAATGCATGTTTCGGTCCTCAGCAAGAGCGGAATGTTGTGTTGACTAGGCTCATTCTGAAACGAGTCAGACACTAGATCAGATCGCGATTCTCACCCAAAGCTTGTCTGTGGTAGCTGATTATCCTCGGCTCGATTCCATCCTGTATAACAACGACGGTCATTAGCCCTCGAACACAGAAAGAGGCAAAACTCGATCAGGAACCTGGGCAGCCTTGGCGTTAATATCGCTCGAAGCTAATTCCAGGATGGTTGAAAGCCGACAAAAGTCGCGGAGACAGTCAGAGCCAGAGTCACGAGGGGTCACTGGTTCAGCCAACGTGACTTGCCATCGCCCACAAAAGAAAGACAGCGGTCATGCCATTACCTCTCCAGAAGACGGCCATTTTCTCCCCTCGTGGTTTGCAAAATTCGAACCATCGACAAGGGGCGAGAGAGCAAGCTTTGCCTTCCAACAGCCACCATTTCTTCGACAATTCCGGCTCAGCGCTCATTGGCGGAATTTAACCAAGACTCGCCATCCAAGCGACGAGAGTCCGACGAATCAGTTGATACCGAGAGCCTGGACTGCCCGATCCCGCACCTCGGGATGAATCGACGCGCTGAGAGCAGTAGGGAACTCGGAAAACCTGATGAATATTGCCTAAATTCGCCCGCCGATGCCCGCGAAGGCCATTTGAGACATGGAGAATTTCAGGCATATTTATCCGACACCAGACGCTACGAACGAGGCCGACTCATTTCAGTAATTTGATGGTCCAATATCAGGAGGAGGCGAACCGGCCATTTAGCCTGTCAGGCCTGTGCCAGGATCGACTAGACCGGTGGTGTGGGGACTGGGGATATTAGGTCGTATCCGGGGCTCTCTCCATGGGGTGGGCAACCGTCTTTGCGTCTGGCCATCCCGATCCGAATTTCCCAGTGGCCGCCGGGGATATTTTCTGTTAAAAGGAGGAGATTCCCCACTGTCGCTGCGCGACGAGATGGCGTTAGGAGAGCAATTGGTTGTGTCTGTCTGCGTGTCTGTCAAGCAAAGATGGGCAAACTCTACACGATCGGAGTGGCATGCTTTGCTGCCACCGGTAGTTTCTTGTTTGGTTATGACTCCGGTAAGTTTTACCTCATTGCGATTCGGTGACTTCGGAGTTCGGACAGACATCTTCTTTGGAGCGTGTTTATTCATTGACTATAGGTGTCATGACCGATGTCATTGCGTCGCCCAACTTCCTCGACTTCTTCAACACGACAAAAACATCCTCAATCATCGGAGCAATTAACAGTACCTTTTCTGGTGGAGGTGAGTTTCGCTCTAGATGCCATACATGGAACGCGTTGGTTTCATAAGTCCACCACTAATATGGTACGATGCGAACAGCCGCTATCGGAGCCCTGACGGCCGGTCTGACAATCGATCGTTTTGGAAGAAAAGCGACCATCCAAATCGGCGCCTTGCTGGCCACCATAGGCGCTATCCTGCAATGCGCTGCCATGCAATTGGCCATGATCCTGGTGGGTCGCATCGTGGCCGGCTGGGCCGTTGGCACCCTCAGCATGTCTGTTCCTGTTTACCAGGCTGAGTGTGCGCATCCCAAAACGCGAGGCCTGTGAGTTTTTGAGCCCCGGATGCAAGATACCTTAGCCGCGATCGAGAGACTGATGACGGATAAAAACAGGATTGTTGGTCTGGCACAGCAGATGATTGGCGTGGGATTTATCGTTAGCACGTACGTTTCCCCCGACATTAAGTGTGGTCTGACATATGGGGTTGCTGCTAATTTTCGGGAACCAACAGATGGATCGGCTATGGATCTCTCCACGCCCCGGATAGTAATAGCGTCCAGTGGAGATTCCCGCTGGCATTCCAAGGACTGCCTGCGCTTATGCTCTTCGTTGGGTTGTTTTGGCTGCCAGAATCTCCGCGTCATTTGATAGAAAAGAGACAAGATGAGGAAGCCCTTCGCGTGTTGAAGAGACTTCATTACGACGGCACCAACGAAGACTGGATCCAGACCGAGTTTACGGAAATCAAAGCCACTATCGACGCAGAGAGAGAATTCACCGCGCCCGGATGGCTGGTTATGTTCCGGGTGCCGCAATGGCGGACACGACTGCTGTACGTCCAGGTCCTACTTATTCCCAAATTCCTTATCTCAAGTACTGACAATTATTTATAGCCAAGGCACTTTGGTTCAAACCTTCACTCAAATGACAGGTATCAATGTCATCAACTACTACCAGAATATCATGTACGTCCCCGACGTCCCTCATGCCCTCACAATCACCACCCAAAATCTAACCCTCAACCCAAGGTACGAGAACCTAGGAATCACCGGCAACCGCGCCACGCTCGTAACAGGCATCTACAACGTCGTCGGGCCCCTCGCCAACCTGATCTTCATCACCTTCTTCCTCGATCGCGTCGGCCGTAAGAAGCCCCTTCTCTTCGGCGCCTCCGCCATCACCGTCGCCCTCGTCTGCGAAGCAGCCCTCAACTCGCAGAACCTCGACGGCACCAGAACCGGCTACAGCATCGGCGGCGTCTTCTTCCTGTTCTGCGTCACCTGTATTTTCTCGGCGTCGTTCGGCTCCATTAGCTGGGTCTACATGTCTGAGGTCATGCCTATGCAGATTCGTGGCAAGGGAAACGCTTTCGCTACGGGCATCGGTAATTGGGTCGTTAGTACCATTTGGAGTCAGGTGTCTCCGATCGCGCTGGACAAGATGGGCTGGAAGTTTTATTTTATTTTTGCGGCTTTTAGTACGTTCTCCTTCTCCCCCTCATATGCCTCCGATAGCCTTACACAACCATCCCATCCAAGCCCCGCATACATACACGCAAACCTGAGATCCATCCACTAACAACCAACCCAACCCAACTAGACGTCTTCATCACCATCCCGGTCATCTTCATCTGGTTCAAAGAGACCAAGCAAAAATCACTCGAAGAAATCGATCTCCTCTTCGGCGGCAGAGCCCTCGGCATGCTCAGCAACGATCTTAACGAGAAAGGACTGGAAGTAGAAGCTCACCACGAGGCCGTGGAGCAGGTGGAGCATGCCCCTCAGAAGGAGAATTAGATGGTTTGATCTACTGGATGTATGGATGAACGGTTTGGTCTGTCCTATTTGCATTTCATGTGGTCTGTCTACCTACTTCTCTGAAGCGAGTGAGTAGTTATTACGGCTTGTGGCAACTAGCTAGTTGTCTAGCACATTTATAGATATACACGAAGTTAAGATTTATAAATATATATAGCTTTTCAAATGACTACTAGTACATATCGTGCTTGCCGATATACAACCATTCGGTCTTTATAACATCAATTCCTAATATTCACCGAGTCATCACCGGTGACTCATAGCAAACTACCCCATACCCCGCCCCAGAGCACACACACTCGAGATCTACCCCGATCTACCCAAGATCTACGATCAGATTACAAGAGAAAAAAAGATTACAGTTTAAATCTGTTAATTAAGATATAAATTTCATTAAAGTACTGTCCAGATGTGTCTTGAACACTGCCATCACGGGGTATGCGCAATTATAACAAACAAAAAGATATAATAGATAATCAGAAGCAAAAAAAGAAGTGAACGCAGCCCCGGACAGATATGATGGGTATCATTGCAAGAGAATAAACAAAAAAACAAAAAGGGAAAGAATCAGCAGCAACTTTTTTTTTATCCCGATTTCTCCGGAGATGGGAATACATGACTCGTGTCGTTTAGGTAGCGAACAAAGGGAAAAAGAGAAGATAAAAGGCAGACGGTTCCGTTATTAGATGTAATTGCAAGCAGTGGTGGAAAGAAAGCAAGCAGTCTTGGTTTGGAGTTCGGGTTGTTGAAGTCGTTCCGTTCATCAGATTTATTCGTAATGTCATGAGGTGAAAATGAAAATGAAAATGTTAAAGTGGAGAGAGAGAGTCTGTGTGTGGATGTGGGTTTGTCGGGGTATTCGAATCCGAATGAGTCAGAAGTTATTCGGACGCTTGGGAGCTAACAGATGGGGCTCGGGCTCGGCTTCCGAGCTCCATTGGCTCCGTGGTCAGATCATCGTTCGTTAGACGGGATCGTCCCCGAAGGGACGAGTGAGTGGAATCGCTGTCCAAACGAAGAGAGTCCATGCGCTCTAGGTCCTCGTATTCAGGAAGCGCAAGTGGCGACCCGTTGTAGTCCTCCATCATGCTGCTACCGTCGAGCATCGTGTATCCGGGAGGACTGGCGGGTACGTCCTCGTAGACAGGGGGCATCTCTTCGTCCCAGCTGATGCCGAGTCCGCTTCGTTCGGTGACGTGCAAGTGGAATTGCATGCGGAGCACCCGTGCAGCACCCGTAGGCGTGATGAGTCTGGTGTTGCGGTTGGGGCAGAATTCCTCGGCAACGATCAACTCGATGACGAGGTTATGCTTGGCTTCCAATCCACCGGCCGCTTCGAGATCGCAGACCGGGTTGCAAGTGGGGTTGATGTTGGCCTCGAACTGCATGCTGATTTCGCCGCCAGCGGTGTCGAAATCGGTCTTCCAGCCCTCCTTTTCTTCGTTGTGGCCGATGATGCGGGTCTCTTGGTGGAGAACGCCCTTTCCCTCACCTCCAATCTTGTGTGCGTGTTTGGAGCAAGCTGTGGAAACGATCTTCTGATGTTCCTCAATCCGCCACATCATCTTGCGCAAACGCCAGCGGGTCTGGGTCTCGTCGCCCTTGTCGACAACTCCGCTGAGAGTCATCTGGACGGGGAATGTGCCGATGGGGTGGACGACGGAGGGGAGAACGATTCGGCCGGTCAGGTTGGTTGGAGGGAAGATACGAATGGAGGACTTGTCGTTTCCGGGAAGGATGGCACGTTTGATGTGCAGCGGCATCTCGAAGTTGTACTCCTCACCATTGACGTTGTGAGCGTGTGCGGACAGGAAGTATTCGATCTTTCCCAGAGAACCGTTGCAGGATGCAGGCGAGTTGCCGGGGAACAGGTAGCTGAATGGAAATTCATGATCACCGCTCTTCAAGTTCAAAGGCTCCGTCAGGAAATTCCAGTGAGTCAGCTCGTCAGTTCGAGAGGAACAGCTAGAGCACTCCCTCGACACCGGCTTCTTCGTAGTGATTTTAGTCATCAAACGCATGTCAAACTTGTCCAGGAAGATCTGCTCTGCTCGTTCCGTCACAGCGATCTTCAGGCGACCCGAGAACAGGGCGCCTGTCGAATTTGCCGGGGTTCCGTAGCAGACAAGGGGAGGAGACTCGACGGTCACATCCAGTTTCGCGGACGAGCCCGAGACAAGCTCAGCGGCATGGCGCTCCTTGGAGCGAGAGGCGCGTCGGCTTCCACGCTTCTTCTCCTTGCTGTGGTCCCTGTGCGGATGGATGAGGTGATCCAGCTGATCCATGGCGAAGGATAGGCGACGTTCCGGAGAACGTGCCCTCTCGGGGTGGGCTGTCACAGTAGGTTTCTTCGCGCCCACGGCCGGGTGGGGGATTTCATTGACGGACGAGGTAGACGACGAGTTGGAGTTGGAGCGGGAGGAGATGGAGGAAGGGTGGTGGTGGGAGTGGTGGCGCACGAAGCTGGGGAGAAGTCGGCCAGGCATGGTGTCTGAAGTCAAGGATGTCCAACGACTCCGTGCCTAGCAAGGAAAAAAAATGCTTGATGAAAATATTTCGTGGATAGATAGATCTCGACGTCTATCGACAGGTTCTTGGTAAATTCTTAGTTGGTGGTGGTTCCGGGGTTTAGGGGTCTGTCAAGGCGAGGATGATCGTGCTTCAGGATTCAGTGCGGTGCTGCAGTAGTTGAGTTTCCAAGGAAACAATCCAAAACATAATCCTCTGGCTTAAGAATTCGACGGTTGGCTGGAATCGGATATGACCTGTACGGAACAGGTCTTGAGAGAGTACAGTTGAGATGAAACTATAGAGGCATGGATTGGAGGGAGAGAGGAGCGAGGTGAAGAAGATATAGAAGGTAGATGGCGGAGTGTTTCTATACTCTACCGAACCAAAATACAAATACCAAAGAAACAAAGAAGAGACAGAAAGAAGAAAGAAGAAAGTGGTCGAGCAGCTGCCTTTGAATGACTTTGAACAAGCTTTTCTTTATTAGCTCCAGAAAAACCAGAATATATACTCCATACAAGACCCTCCAGCGGACAAAAAAAAAGGTTTTTTTTTTTTCGGGAAAAAAAATAAAAAACTAAAAAACTAAAATAATAATAATTAAAATTTTTTTTCCAAGGTCCCAGTTTCTAGGAGGTTCCCACCGTGTAACAGATACCTTACCATTTTCTTCGCTGGTCTGGCCACTGTCCGGTCTCCGTCACACTGCCAAAGTGGAACCCGGCAGAAAAAGCGTCACGCTGGGACTTACCGTACGCCTTTCCGTACGTGACAATAAAGTCACCGCCCCCCGAGGTGTCAAATGGGAGTCGGTCGGCCAGTCTTGGCGGGCTAGAATCCCCCCCCGAGGAGATTTGAGACGATTCTGACATCCGCCTTCTCTCATCATGAGCCAACGAGCTTGCGTGTTCGTCCGCTATTCTGGCTAAACTTAGCCATCATTACATCATCGGGTTCGCGGTTTTCTTCTCCCTGGGAGGTTTATTTAATCTTGCCATCAGAATTATGGAATGTGGTCGATGGATGGGCTCAGAGTACGGAGTAGTACACAGTAAGCGTGGGATATTCTAGATTCCAGAATTCGTCACGCAGATCACGCAACGCTTTGAAACAACAATGACAACAGCCTTTCGGACAATAGTGTGATTGGATCTCCCGAGTCTTTACTCGCTTGAGGGTAAACCTTGTCAATGATCTGAGTGTGTTCCCGACGAAATCGACGGCCGATGAATTCGGTCCAAAATGATGCGATTGCCTTTCATCAAACATGTGAGATCGACAGACAGCTCCCTGGTGATCCGATTGAGGTGGTATTTGGTCAGGTACCGCCTTCGCTGGCAGTGGCTGATCAAACCGCCTCTCTCTTCTCCGCCATTCCAATTCCTACCGCGTACACCTAGTCATCTACTGCACGCTCGCATGGATGGTCTACAAACCTAAGATCTTTGCATCATTTGACAACATCTCAGAAGGATGATCGCAATATCGTCTTAGTTTAGCAGAGTTTCCCTCCAACACATGACGCGCCATTCTGCATCGGCGAAAAGCCCGTGCGCCATGACTCACGACTGGTGTTTCCCGGGTCCGTTCCCTAGATGCCATGCGTCCCGAGACCATCTGAGCCCTACCTAAACCTGGATGGCGTTCCTTTGGACAAATTGGACACACCCCTCGCTTGTGGATCCCCGTATGCGCAAAGTGGTGACTTGGACCTGGGGCATGATTGTGGAGGTCGTCACAACGGCTGTCCACTGTCCATTGACTCCCTCTTTGAGACGCAATCATTCGATCCGCTTCTCAAATTGTAAACGGAAGTTGCAATGTTCTTTGACCGACGTAACCAAGGAACCGGCGGGCTGAGTCAGGTTCTAGACGGACTGAAACTGTGTACAATGTTCCTCAGGGTCCACCGTGATTGGTCAGTTCCATACTTAGAAACTCAGGAGCTGCCACGACGACAGGAGAGAGACCCATGGCGGTTTCAATCGACGACTGATTGATTGTCATTGACCCCTTGCCAGCTGCGTAGCGCGCTACGGCGATGAACACCGGCGTTCTTGTCTTGTCTGGGGGGATCAGAGCCAACCCGGCACGCATTATCCGGAGCTAGCCACGAGTCACAACTAGCCGACACAACGAGCATGGTCGAGTTCCCCGCGGGCCTTGCATTTTGCTTGGTGAAAGGGGGCCGGCGCGTTCTTTGCTGATTCGAGTAGGTCAGCTGCCGTCATCAAACCATCACGTGGCGTCATTCGCTGCCCTCAAGGTCCGACGGTCCTAAGGCGGTAAGGCGGTCTGGCGCAAGCAGAAGTTACCACTTACCAACGGTGACCAGCCCCGATACGCGGGTGTACCATATACCACACAGTGTCCGTAACGTACGGACCCGCGCTAGTTGGAGATCCTCTGGATGCGTGATGCCGCCTTTCCTCTTTGGTGATGAGGAGGGGCAGACCGCATTTGGGAGGCGACGCTAGACCCGTCCGAACCGGAGGCCACCCGTTCGCTTTGGGCAATGGGCCTGGAAAATTCAGAATCCTTTTACAGAATTTTTATCACCCGTTGACTTGTATGGTTGCAATTCACCCTGGGTTCCACCGCATAGAGGGGTCAACGGGAAACAGAAAACAAAAAAGGGCAGAACAAAAAACGACCGCATTCGAAAGAGGACCCGAAAAGGCCCCATGAGTCAATTCTCAATCCTCCAATATGGACCGACTATGCTATTGTGGTAAATCCATACGGAGAGACCTACGCAGTACAGCGGGATTATGTGATCCTGTCGCGGTTCTCTCCTCACAATTACCCCTTTCGGACAGGACCAAGCTGCATCCTAGAAGGAACATTTCTGGGCAATCTATATTTTTGGCGATCACTTCGCTCAGTTCCCCGCACTGCAGGGAATCGAGCATCCGCGGGGCATTGCATCATAGGACCGTCTCGGATATGATGCCGTTGGCTGCGACGTCCGGGGATGCCAGAGCAGTTGAAGCCAGGACGTTGAATAACGAAGGAATGGATCGAAATATCGGTTGATCCCTAGGAAGTACGTGAAGAAAGGACGACGACAACAAACCGACCGAAACCCACCCGGCCCTGTTCTAGACACATTCTCTGTCTGACCTGTGCGCCCTGTGAGTTACAGGGAAATCATCTCCCGGGACGAATCGCCGTTCACCCGCACCATCCCCATTACCTAACAGAATCGTCGCCCTCGTCGCCCATTGGAAGCGCCCTGCCCTGGCGACGATGCTTAGGCCTGACTCTGAGGTACCTCCTGCGCCTTGAAGATCTGTCAAGGAAACTTTGTCCGTCCCGACTCCTGGAGGGTTTCGGCACGAGAATCTGTCGACTGTCTCCCCGGTTGGCCGACTCGATCATGCCAGAATCATCGGGTGCGATGCGGTCTAGTCGTTCAGGGTTCCGACTGATCGCCCTGTACCACCACCACCTGCATCGAGGCGCACGGTTTCTTCCGCGGAATTTTCCCATTGGATGGGATTTCCTGCCCAGTTTATCATCCTCAATCCGGCTGATCCAGTCAGGTACTGTCGACCTGCCACACCGATCATTCTTGGTGGCTTCATCTGTCTGGTCCAAACAACGGCAGTAGCTCACGGTACCTTGTTGAGGGCGAGTATCAACGTGCCAACTTCCTCTTTCGGCATGGCTTCCTCGTGGGTTCTACGCAGTACACCGTAGGTCGGTCCTGGCTCCTGAGTCGTGACCGGCCCGGTCTGGGGCTTCGATGTGGCTCACACTCTACGGAGCGGCTTAGCAAGCCAACAAGGTAGGTTATCGAGATCACGTCGACTGATTTCGGTATCCAAATGGGCGATTCAATTGAGGCATTTAGGATTATCACGCTCACCGAACCTGTTTCTCTCCACCTGCAGGGATCTCTACTGCCAATAAGACTCTCACCTGCCTAATTCAGCCCCTGTAGAACTCCGTGCGACAGCTCCCTACCCTACAGAGCAATAGGCTGTAGCACACAGGTACAGCATGAACCACATCAAGTCCTGGATATGCATGTATGGAGCATGGGCCTCTCGGTCCCCATCGCATGCAGATTTACACGACAGCTTGCTGGCGAATGCACCCACAGAAGAAATCTCCGATTGCGCGACTTGTGGGTTAGCGAATAACTCAATTCACGTTCCATTCCAATTTCCCATTCATCTCCATCGGACCTTTCCGCGGGAAAGTACAGAGGAGTAGAAAACAAATACAGAAACAAAATAACAAAAAAAACCCCACCAGAAAAATGTGTTAGACAATAATTTCCTCCTGTGTTAGTCACTTAGTCACTCTGTCGGTGGCACGCCATCGTCCCGACGGAGGATTCCCGGATTTTCCAGGCGACGGTTCGGCCTAGCGCAACTCCATCGCTATGACGCCCCTCTTGGTTACCCTGGAACTAGCAGTAGCGCCTCAAACACCAAAAATTTTCTTGATCATTCGAATTAATCGAATGCCCACTCCGACGGTACCCTCCTCTCTGGTTGGTCTGTTAATATAGACATCGGCGAGTTCCGAAGAATTTCTACTACTACAGAATACATCCATACGGAGTAGTTTGTAGTAGTACTCCGAATGTAGAAACTTCCTAAGAATAATACAAATACCACCTCCCTCATTCAGGTATCGCCGTGCAGGGTGAGATCGAATGGACCTTCATCCCCGTTGATCTACACCGTACGAAAGTCTGGCCCAGCGTTAAGTTGGTCAGTGATCAGTCATCCATCCATGCCCGCTGCCCTTCCTTGTATTTTATTCCTTTCGCGCGTGTCATATTTTTTTTCGGGGCCACAGGTAAGTCTTACCTAATAGGGCAACCTTGGCGGGGAATGGAAATTGGACGATGAGCGATTATTTCGACAGATGGGGTATCGAACTCTCTTGGCATTATTAGGTGTCTGATGTACTGAGAAGGAGCAGGAAAATACTCCGTAGTTGTGTGGTTTAAAAAAAAAAAATCAGGGAATGAAAGGCCGGGCGGGAAAAGGATATTTCCCATGGGGTTTGGAAAATTCGGTCCATGGATGCCGATGGGGGGGTGATGGATGGGATTTCACTTTTGGATTGGTGGTCCAGTTCATTTTTCATAGCCCTAATTCTAAGTAGGTAGTAAATATGGACATACAGTATCTACGGAGTACAGTTTATGCTCCGATGTGACTGTTAATGGTATAATTTCGGAATATAATTCTTGCTATGGAGGGCTTCGTATGTTGGTTGATAGGTGTGTTGCTCTGTGAGCCCTATACCCTCGAATGAGCCAGTGTTCAGCACGACCGGTCAAGGTGTTTTGGTTCGCATTATATAGAATCCCAAACGTTATTAAGCATGCCATTCAATTTAGTCAATTGAGTGCCAAGAGTACTCCGAGATTCGTTTCCATGTCGGTCTCTCATCATTGTTGGACACTGCCCATGGTTAGATATTCAACCCCGCGATTCCTTTGAGATGGTCCGGGATTCTGTCATCCAATGTGGAAAGATGTCCGAACTATGAATCAATTCATGATTTTCTCATCTCTCGATGGCTGGGGAATCGTTTCTAATCACCAGAAATTGTCAATAACGGTAGGACCACCGGAATGATAGAAAGTGACTGATTTTGTTTTCTTCTATTTTATTTAAATCAATCACTAGATGTAAAAATCTAGTTTCTCTTCCTGTATTCCCCCCCCCCCCTCATATCTAGCTAGAACCAAAGCAGTAATACGGCACGCAATGTCGAAGACAAATAGTTGTCATTAACAGAAAGCTGTCTTGGAATTCTATTACCACCCTCTCTCCAATTCTTCCTCCAATGAGTAAATATACTGGCGTTATTGAAAAGGTCCAATTTTGCCGAGGCTGACGATATGCCGATGCTTATCGGATCACGTGGTGATAAAGACCGCAGCCCCGGATCGTCAATTGGAGCTTCACTTTCCGTCCTGCCACCGTGTCTTGCGGTGCTTGCAGACGAGACGACGTCTAGAATCAGCTGGAGGCAGCTCAAACCAAGAATCCAATTGACTATCCAAAACACAAGCGATCGAAGTGGTGGCCCCGTGGAAGAATGTCGGATGCGCTCCACTATCTGATTTGATACCTACCTAATTGACCTCGAGTTGATGCTCCGATCCACCGAGCATTTCGATCCATCTAATTCATCCCTCGCTAGCAAGGGTCTCTCGAATCCAAGACGAGGATTGAAAAAATAACAATATTGATTATATCATTAATTTGGTCGATTGATTGATTGATTAGATCCACCATGTCGTCATCTTTGATCTCCTTAGGAGTCGCCATTGCCGCGGTCTTCCTCTTCTGGACCATGTCCTCAACCTCGTCGTCCCCGTTTGCGCGCAATTTCCCGCGTCTCTATAACCAGAGGATATGTTTGCTTATTGCGCACCCGGACGACGAGGCGATGTTCTTCGCGCCTACCGTGCTGGCGCTCACGAAGCCGGAGCTTGGTAATCATCTTAAGATCTTGTGTCTTAGTACCGGTACGTATGCGTCCTGACCCATCTCCCCGCATGCGCGTGCTCGCCACCGAAGGGAAAAGAAATCGAAAGAACAGGAATCGTGGACCGACGAGACAATGAACACCTCTAATTACACTAATCGGCGGCCAAAAATCCAATAATAACAATGAATAAACAGGAGACGCCGACGGACTCGGCCACATTCGCAAGAAAGAGCTCCAGCAAAGCGCCCTGCAGCTCGGCCTCCGCAACGAATCAGATGTCTACGTCGTCGACGACCCTGCCCGTTTCCCCGATAGCATGTCAACCATCTGGTCCGACTCCGATGTATCGGATCTCCTGGCCTCTGCCTTTGCGCCGGATCTGCTCGCCGGCACTGCCGCCGGCGCCGCACGCAAGAGAGATTCCAAATCCAAATCCCACGCCAAGACCAACGATGACTCTCCCTCCGCCACCATCGACGTGATCCTCACCTTTGATCAGCGCGGCATCAGTAACCACCCGAACCATCGCTCGCTGTACCACGGAGCGTTGTATTTCCTGCGCACCTTGATGAAGGATAAATCGGGTTACTCGTGCCCTGTGTCGCTGTATACCCTGCACACGACGAGTCTGCTGCGGAAGTATATCGGTGTCTTGGATGCGCCGATCACGATGGCGCGGGGGGCGGTTTCGTCGCTGGTCTCGAGCTTTTCTAAAGGTAAAGCTGGATCTGGATCTGGGGGGGAGAACCCGTCGCGGTTGCTGTTTGTGAGCTCGGTGAATGAGTGGATGACGGCGCAGTCGGCGATGGTGAAGGCTCATAAGAGTCAGATGGTTTGGTTTCGGTGGGGATGGATTACCTTTGGGAGGTATATGGCTGTTAATGATTTGCAGAGGGAGAATATTTGATTTTGGTTTTGTGGTCTGACTGGGGGAAAGGGGTTGGATGTATGTACCTCTGTATGTATGTATGATAGTGATCCATGGATAGTTTTGATCCTTGTATATCCTTGTACAGGGTAGAAGTTGTAAGTTGCGAGGTGGCCACCGCGGTGGTTAAGAACGATCATGAATGACTGGTGTTGCATACCCAGAATGGCCATGGAGGGATGCGAAATAATTGGTAGAACGTTACAGGCATCTAAAACGTCTACATAATGTCCCATAAGGTAGCTAACATAAACTGATCATTCACACCATTTATTTGAGAATACGTTGGCTCATGTTAGCATGTAACTTGGGACAGACGGAGTAGCTAAAACCATTAAACTGGCAATCCACTCCAGGTGACCACCACGAACAAGTGTATCTGATAAGACGTTCCCAGACATCAGAAAGATCGCACTTCCGAAGACAAAACATTTGCTAAAAATGAAGAAAACATAAACTCATGAACAAAAGAAAGGCTAAGGGATCAAGCGCTAGAAAATAAACAAAAACCAGGATAGACCTAAACACACGTCAAAGCAAATACGACAACCAGATTCAAGCATCAGAGAAACCGAAGCCCTTAATCGCGGTATCGGCAGGATCCTCGGATTCCCGTTCTTTTTCGATTTCCTCCCCCAAGTTCCTAGCCGGTTTGTGAGTGAAATCATGCTCTCGGTAGAATTGTTTGAGATCCTCATAATTCTCGCAGTCTGCCAAGGTTTCGTAAGTGAAAGGGTCGTGTGGTGGCGGGTGCGAGACGGTGCTTCGTTCAACGACCCCAGAAAAGAGACGAGCCAGAGGTTCGGTTTGGAGGCCGGGTTTGGACTTGTAATACGGTCGTCTTTCCAGCAGATTGGCCCAGAAGGCGTCGTCATCGATATCATCGGGGTGAACCTCTCGTTTGAGCCCGTTTGTCGGGGTCGGGCGGCGAATAGGGATTTTGTAAAATCCGGTGAACCGTCGAAATCGCCAGTTGGTGAATCCTTTTCTGTTGACCGTTCCGCCGGACGTATCGTAGTGGATTTTGTCGGGGAGGAAATCCTGCCACTCCTCGAGGGCTTGCGGGAGGAGACGTCGCTCCCAGGTGTACTCGGGTTCTCCGGGGATTTCCCAGTGCTTTTGGATGAGGAGGAGTCGGGCGAGTCGCCTGACGATCATGTTGGCCTGGGCAGCGCGTAGCCGCAGTAGGTCATACTCGTACACAGCGTTGGCGAAGGGCCGTGATTTGAATCGCGAGAGATTCACCTGCCCACGAGGGTTCTTGGGCCCTTGCGAGGTCTTGCTATTGGTCAGATAGCCCATGACTTTGGTGCGCGCTATTCTCTGCTTGCGTCTTGTTTCCGCTAAGACGTTGTACGCCCCCTCCATGTGCTCCTTGTATCGGGGCCAATTGCGTTGATCCCACGCCGTCTTAGCCATCATTTGATGAACGTGGGCCGTGGGCCGAACGTTGTATGGTTTCGAAGTCATAGTCTCATACAATTCGAATATAAAATTGAAATACAGCTGGCCCCGGTCTTTCCCCGGAAGGTCGGGTCCAAAACGTTGTCGCGAGAGCACAAAGGCCCGCTCCGTCAGTTCTAGCCAGACCCCCTCCGGAACCGCAATATTGTATGATTCGGAGAGGTGGTCAATGGTCCGCAGCGCGGCAAGCATGTTACTTGACGTGCCAAAAGCATGGGCCACAGCATGTAGTAGATTTTTCGTCGGATAACAAGGGGATGAGCGCGGAAAGGGAGTGACGGGTTTTAGCTTGGGGTGGTTTTCTGGGTCCAGCAACGCATCCACGTCAACATTCCAGATGGCCTTGAGAAGCCTTATGATTCCGGTGATAGACCCCACGCGGGAAGACGATACCATCACCTGGATGAAGGTGTTCTCGTCAGCCTGGAACCCTTCTCCAATCATTTCGTTCAGGATGCTGGTCACATCTTTTCGCACACTTCGAGCTTTGGTACCAAAGCCCGTCCACCCCGGGTTAGGATACTCATACCCTCGTTTGCGGTAGATGTGCTTGGTGATTCGCAGCCGATAACTCTCCCGGCCAGTGTAGGTCGAGTTCCAGGACTTAGATGCCATGAGATGGTTGTAGCAGGTAACGTCAGGGCGAATATCGTCTGCTTTCATGCTCTCCCAGACATGCTCGGCCATGACAGCATCTCCCATGGAACTCGCACATCTGAGAAGATGAGTGTACTCAGCCAGCCCGAGTTGGTGGCCCGTCCGTAGTCGAGTCTCAGCAACAGTCATAACGTTGTTGGCGAATTCCTCGAAAATCACCTCGAGCCTCTTGTACCCGTGGACGTGCATGGTGGTCGGATGCAGCGGTCGATGGATCTTACGGAATGGCAGGATAAAGTAGGTGGGCGAGAGCAAGCAGAAAACCTCAGCAAACCTGCTCGGCGTCATGGTCGCAATGATTGGGTCGAAGCGCGGATTGAGCAGTACACTCATCACTTGATCTGGCTGTCCATCTCGAACGATGGCCCAGAATTCCTTGACTGCTCCCCTGCTAAGCGCCTGTACATGCTGTCTGTCATTGGGCAGGCCGATTGTTTCATTTTCCACATCACCTGTAGAGGGCGAATCTAGAAAGGCGGGGAAATTGGCTGCGTTTCCGTGCGAAGTATGTTCGTGAACATGGTTAGGAATGTAGGACCGCTCAGCAAAGGCAGGGGAGGAAGAGGAGCTCAGCTGCCTCCACCGGGTGGAATCTCGGGCGGATGTTATCAGTGGAGTGGAGCCTGGATAGTGAGCGCACTGGACCTGAGAGCCAAATCTCTGGCTCGCTCGTGCAAACCTCCGCATCACCGCGACTCAACTCGTGCTAGGTCCGACAGACAGAACCAAAAACCAAAGCAAAGAACTGCACCAGTTCTGCACACGAAACACAACGAGGAGAAGCGTCACCAGTTATATTTGATTGGGCTTTGCGGGGGCTTGGCGACCAGATCCCTGTCCTTCTCCTCATTTCGCCTGCATTAAACCCTCGGTCGGCTCGCTTTGTTCTCTCTTTCCCTCACCCCGCCTGCCTGTTCGTCATGGCCGACACCGAAGACACCGGCGCTGCCTCCGTCTCCGAACCCTTGGATCTGGTGCGCCTGTCGCTCGATGAGATTGTCTTTGTGAAGCTACGTGGGGATCGCGAACTGAAGGGTCGTCTGCATGTGCGTTCTTCTTCCCAGACAAAGCTGGCCCCCGACTTGTACGCGCTTGCCGATCTTGCTGACTTTGATGTTTCCCGTCATAGGCCTACGACAGCCACTGCAATGTGGTCCTGGGAGATGTCGAGGAAACCGTCTATGTGGTAGAGGAGGATGAGAACGGGGAGGAGACCATCCGCGTATGTGATTGCCATCTTTCCTTTCGCTTTTAATCTCTCGCTCTGTCCGCCTCTGATGGACAGCTTGGAAATTATCTGGCGATGAGCTAACGGATCTCCCCTTCTAGACTACCAAGAAACAGGAAGAAATGCTTTTCGTGCGAGGTACGCTGAATGCGATAGAGCAGACACCCGGTTAATTTGGAAGATCTGGCCAGCTAACAGTCTGTTCCCTCGCATAGGAGACTCCGTTGTCCTGATTTCGCCGCAAGCATGAGCGCGACATTAGAACAACATGGAAGTCTACGAGACTCGACTCGATCGATCGGATAATACAGAGAGAATAATGGAATAATTCATGGGAGGAACACTGGGACAAGAACGGGAGACTATTGACTCTCCTACACACGGTGGATCATGAATATGAGACCATGAAATTAGGCGATGACTACAGAATATCGGGAGAAGGTTTTAGTTGCGTCATGAATTGTCTCCGGAGCTTAGTTCCCTGGGTAGAGTTATATGAAAAGAGATTCCGGGCTGGGATGGCATGACATGAGAAATTGGCCTGGGCGACTTGTGCCACCAGAGATGAACCCACCGCGACACCAGTCATCAGCGTCCTGTTCTGTAGCTTTCCATTAGTCTAGCGGAGAAGTCTTCATATTAATTGATCCAAGATCAATATGACACAGCCCCATGATTCACTGTGCTCTGGTAGCCATCAGTTGGCTATGACTCAACCACTGGGGCGGTTATCGATAAAGCGCACCTTTCCCCGACCAGCCCCATCCGGTTGCCTGCCCCCTTCTCTCGCTCTCCGTCCCATCTGCTATTCTGTTCCATCCTCTTCCATTCCACTTGCCTTTGCAATCCCAAATTGTCTGTACGGGCTCCTTCCGTCTCAGCGCCTTCCTCTCAACCGTCAGAGTGGAATTATGATCACTCGAATACGAATCTAAATGCGCCAGCGGCGGCTTTTGCTCAACCCCCCGACCGTATAGTATATCCCAAACCATATCTTATATTTTTAGTTTTCTCTCTCCCCCTCTCTCTCTCTCTCGACATTCTTATCCCATTCGCTCTTTTTGGATATCGTAACCTATCATTATGGCTCCCGGTGGACCAAAACTTTCGCTGGAGGAGCGGCGAAGAGGCGAGATTGTAAACCACCTCTCTACACTCCGCCATCACCCCTTCATCATCCTCAGTGCTAACTCCTCGTCAAATCGTACAGGCGCTCAGTGAGTTTGCAGAATATGCCGACAAGCAGCAATCAAATCGGTCTGCCACCGTACCGCCCAGTGACAGCGGCTACTCCACTGCTAGTGTATCCCGCGCCCACGAAGAACACGCCGAACTAGAGATCCTCGATCAACTAGGGTTGTCCGATGCGCCGAAATCGTTCAAGCTGAAAGACCTTCTGCTGGGTACAGGTGACCAGCCAGAGGACAGTCTGCAGACCTTAGCTAGCCTGGTCCAAAACCGCATTGACGAGGGCCATGGCGAGACGATATTTGACTTGGGCCTCGAAGATGGCGGAGAATCGATGGCGTTCGACCTGGAGCATTGGAACACGGCTTTGCGGCGTCTACAGGAGGCAACCGACACCCTTCCCGCGCATTGTCGCATCCTAATGACCTACAATGTCGGAGGCCCCGGCGAGTCCCACATGCATAACGAGCGGATAAAAGGGGCTTGGGGCAAGGTCCTCATCCGACAGCCTGCGGATAGCGTTGAAGAGATGGCCGAAATTCGGGTTGCAGTGGTGGGAAATGTGGATGCCGGCAAAAGTACCATGCTGGGAGTCCTCGTAAAGGGGAACCTGGACGATGGTCGCGGCAAGGCTCGAGTCAACCTATTCCGTCATAAGCACGAAATTGAAAGTGGTCGGACTAGCTCCGTTGGATTGGAAATTATGGGATTCGACAGCCGGGGTGACATTGTCGGTAACTCGCAGGGCCGCAAGTTATCGTGGGAAGACATCGGCAGACGGTCCGCAAAGGTCATCTCTTTCACCGACCTGGCTGGCCACGAGCGGTATCTGAGGACCACGGTGTTTGGTATGCTGAGCAGCAGCCCCAATTACTGTCTTTTGATGGTTGCCGCCAATAACGGTCTGATCGGAATGAGCAAAGAGCATCTCGGTATCGCATTGGCGCTGAATGTCCCGGTCATGGTGATTGTCACCAAGATTGATATCTGTCCCCCGCAGATCCTTCAGGAGACTCTTTCTCAGCTCAATAAGATCCTCAAGTCCCCGGGCGCTCGCAAGATTCCCGTGTTCATCAAAGACATGGAGGAAACCATTAACACGGCGACCCAGTTTGTCAGTCAGCGAATCTGTCCCATCTTCCAGGTCTCCAACGTTACCGGTGAGAATCTGGAACTAGTACGAACGTTCCTCAATATCCTCCCGCATCGTGGCCAGTACAACCCCGATGCTCCTTTCGAGTTCCTTATCAACGATACATTCTCCGTGCCGCACGTGGGAACGGTCGTGTCGGGGGTGGCCAAGTCCGGCGTGATCCATGCCGGCGATCCAGTGCTCGTGGGACCCGACTCGCTCGGACAATTTACAACGACCACGATCAAGTCAATTGAACGTAAGCGGATTCAGGTCAATGCCTGTTTTGCTGGCCAATCCGGCTCGTTCGCCTTGAAGCGTGTACGTAGGAAGGAGGTCCGCAAGGGCATGGTTGTTCTCAAGAAATTGGACCAACCACCCAAGGTATACCGCGAATTTGTGGCGGAAGGTACGACTCATTACACCATCTTTAAACCCAAACATGCATGCTTACTGTGATATTATAGTTTTGATCCTGTCCCATGCGACCACTATCAAACCCCGATATCAAGCCATGCTGCATGTGGGAGCGGTGAGTCAGACCTGCTCCGTCATTGACATTGACCGCCCCTTCATTCGAACTGGCGATCGTGCTTTGGTGGCCTTCCGATTCGCCCAACGTCCTGAATTTCTGGCGCCTGGGGATCGAGTGCTCTTCCGCGAGGGTAAAACCAAGGGATTAGGGATCGTCAAAAGCGTTGGCTACGACCCGGAGAAGCCTCTAAATCCGGAAGGAAAAAAGGCGGCCGAGAAGGGCAATTGAACGAATATGTCATTGATTCTGGATAAGTTGGGAATTTTCTTTTGTTTTTGGTTCATGGGTTGTATGCTACGTGTTCTTGTTTTTGCAGGCGAGCCTCTTGTGAGAGCTCTCATTGAATGCATCTGCCACCGGCGCTTCTTGTTTCAGACATCTCCATGATCCCGTCTGCTACGTATGAAGATAGCTGGACTATCATTAGCGGGTTGCGACTCCTCGCCGTCCTTGTCGCATCCCACCACGTGACGTGACGTCAACGCGACGACGATGACATCAAAGCCACCTGATCGGCGTCTCAATGGCGAATTCTCTCACTTGTTCCATGGGGTCAGAAACCCAATTTCCCAGCTGCTGAGCTGCTCTTAAATACCCATGGGAATTTCTTCCCTCAGCTGCTCATTTTTTTCTCGGCATTAGCAATTGACTCCAATTACACATCGTACTCTTCCATCTACGTTACTCTTTGTATAACTACCTTAATTCCTAGATCTACTTTCGGCCTCTCGACTCCCCAGGTTACTTCATTCCACATTGACAGTCTCCCATTCTCTAACTCAATCGAATCGTCACCCTCATCATGGAGACCCTCGACAAAGCCTGGCACACCGCAGCAGACACTCTGAAGAGCGAGATCAACTCGTACCAGTTGTCCCAGTCGTCCCAGAAGCCATGGACAGAGTACGGCAAAGAGGAACCTCTCTCCGGCATCCAGGGCAAAGGCACCCTGACGGATCCCTACGACGCCGGAAACCGCGATGGTGAGTGATGCAATTGAGTTCGGCTCTGGTCCCCCGTGTATGACGGAGTCCTGGTGTCGTTCCCGCCACACTCACCCACCCTCCTCCTTTCCTCAAGCCTCTGTCTGGCACAGTACAGGGTAAGCTAATTCGACCAATTCGTCCACAGAGCAACCCGGCGCTCCAAAGAGCCAACAAAACACCGCCGTGGTCCCCGAAGCCCTGGTATCGACCGCCGACGACGCAACCCCGGATCTGAAGCCCGTCACGAACGGGAGTCTGGATTCCCGCTCGGATTCCAGACCGTCGGGGAACAAGTTCGTCGGCGTCATGGAGACCCCAGAGCAGCGGACCCAGCCTCCTCCGCCTAGTCTGACGACTCCGACGACTGGTCGCGCCTCCGCTGTTGCGGCTGATATGAACGGTCACGGTCGAGACTCTGTGGCGCCGGCGGCGGCGACGGCCGGTGGCTCAGGTACTACTGCTGCCATTAATGGAGTGAAGGAGGAGAAGGAGAAGGAGAAGGAGGAGGAGGAGGAGGAAGAAGAGGAGGGATCTTCTTCGACCGCTGCTGCTACTGCGCCATGGGGATCCCGGATGCCGCAATATCAGCCGAAATCTCAGAACCCAATCACCAAGTCTCAGAACCCAATCACCAGTTCTAGGACCTTCAGTCAGACTCCTACCAAGATGGAAAAGACCGAGGATCCTCAGAAGGCTCCTAGCAAGGTCACTAACGTCAACGATCAAACTGCTACCGTACCGTCTACTACTTCCAACCTGGAACAGGATACCCGCCGTCTGAGTCTGCAGAAGGACAAGTACACCGGCGCGGAGATGAGCAAGCGACAGTCTTTGTACGAGTCGAAGCCTCAAGGCGGCGAAGGCGGCTCAGTCGATGAAGGAAAAGACTACATTAATAACAGCAACACCGCTGGTCTGTCTATCTCCGGTACACCTGGCGTCCCGAGTCGACCTCCTGCCACCTCCAAAGCCAGCGAGGAAGCGCTGAAGGGCCCTCAATGCTCGGCGAAGCCGCCGTATGATTTCGAAAAGCAGTTGGATGACCCGAGTGGTCGACGCAAGTCGAAGTCGAGTATGTCTCCCTTCCTCCCCCACCTTTTCCCCGATCTTATATTATACCATTTCTTTCCTGAAGTATGGAACTAAATATACTAACCCATTCCTTTCCCCCATCATCCAGGCCACAAGAAATCCGACTCTACAGGCGACGCCAGCGCCATTAAATCCGCCGAAAAGACTCCCTCATCTGAGGCGTCCACGAAGAGTGGTTCGAAGAATGGATCCAAGAACGGTCTCCACAACACCATGTCCCATATGAAAGAGAAGCTCAAAAAGGTGGTCCATCAAGATCATCATTCGGACAAATAAATCTGTCTATCTGTCCCTGGCCTGGGGTCTTACCCTTGTCCTTCCTTTACCTGGAGGGATGATGGGTCAGGAATGTGTGGATTGATTGATTGACCGATTGGATTTGTTTGACGATTACGAGTACGACTGTTTCCGAATTCCGAATTGTTTGGTTTAGTGTGCGTGTTTTGAATAGCTAGTTCGGGTTGTCTTTATAGTCTTTCCTTTTGTTTGTTTGTTTCTTGAGTTGAGATTTTCTTGTTGATTCTTGTGTACTATATCCCGTTTCGGTGCTCTTTTTTTTCATGTTCAATTGACTTTGTCATGGTCTAATAGTGTATTGATACTTTGTGAAATTGAATAATTGATCATATGAAAATCAATCACCCTGTAGGTGTAGTATATGGCCATTGTTAATCGACATGCCATGCCATCTATCTATCCTTCTATATCCCGCTTAAACGGAACATTATATCCATTACATTCGTTCGTCTGTATGTGTAAACAAGCCAGTCCACTGTCGAACTACTCAAACAGCAACTTCAACTCCTCAATCCGATCCTTCTTCTTATCATCCTCCCCTCCATCCCCACCGACTCTCAGTCCCAGGGATCCCGCAATGTTCATTTTCCGCTCCTGGACCCTCAACATGCGTCCCTCGATGGAGTCTTTGACAATGAATCTCGTCACCGAGACATCCCGTAACTGGCCCATTCGGTGCACGCGGTCGATCGCCTGCGCTTCGATGGCGTAACTCCACCACGGGTCCATCATGAAGACGTTACTCGCGGCCGTGAGGTTGAGACCGACGCCACCGGCGCGAAGACTGATCAGGAGGACGCGCGGAGTCGGGGCGGGTGGTTTCTTGACTGTGGAATTGAGGCGGAAGGGAGTGGTGAGGCCAGGTTCGGATTCGTCTTCGATGTCTTCCTGGTCGTAGGAGTCGAGTTTGGTGAATTGGGCGAGGACTTGGGCGCGCTGTTTTTGGGGCATGGTTCCGTCGAGGCGGAGGTAGGGGATCCCCTCCCGGTCGAGCTGGGGGGCGATGAGGTCTAGGAAACTGGTGAATTGGGAGAAGACGACGGATTTGGTGTTCGAGGGGACGCGGTGGAGGTGGTTGAGAAGGGAGTGGATTTTGGCGCAGGTGTGCGAGGACGGGGAGAGTGGATTGATGCGGCGGAGGGATATTCGTGGCGCAGACTGCGTGCTGGTTGGAGGTGTGCTGCTGTAGATGTCGGTTTCGGCGGTGGGTGTCGTGTTGGGGGATTGGTGGCGGATGACTTCGAAGATGTCGCGGTGGCTGACTGGCGCTCTGCAGGAGAAGCATCGGGGCGAGTCGCCTTTGTCGGTCTGATGGCGGATATAGTCTTCCAGACACTTCTTGCATGCACTATGCCAACATGCGGTTACCGCGGGCTCGATCATGGGTTCTTCGGAGCAAATGGGACACTCTCCGCTGGATTCGTTTTGGATCTGCTTCAGGGCGTATGTCGTGAACTTGGTCGAAGAGTCTTGCGTCTCGTTGGAGTCTGCTTCTTCCGTTGCCGTTGTGAATTTGTTGATCAGTTCTTGCAGGTCCATGTCATCCTTCAGTCCGTTGTCATCATCCGCTGCAGCTGCCGCCACTTCCTCGTCTGCAACAATCGCTTTGTTGCGGGTGAGTACAGGATGGCAGCATGTTTGGCGAAGGCGCAGGATCTGGGCAAAGATTGTTGTGAAAGACTTCAGGAGTGTTCCGGCTTCCACGTTGTCATTGAATGTTCGCTTTGCCCGAGTGTAGATATAATCGTAGATCTCACGCTCCTGATCCGAGAGTTGGACCTCTTCAACCGTGATTGTCCGACGAGGTAGGGGCACCAAAGGCTCTCCTTCAGGCGTTTTCATCGTTTTCGTACGTCGAAGCACCAAAGGCTCGAGCACACTCTGGACAACGTTAAGTGCGCGTACATAGTCCTTAGATTCAAATGGCACAGTGATGAAGGTCTTCCAGAACGAGAAGTTGTTCCAGGGCTCAACCTTGAGAAATCGCACCAAGCTAAACAGATCCTCTAGACGATTGACGATCGGCGTTCCTGTCAACACCCAGCGATGGGCGGCTTTCAGGTCATAGCATGCCCTGGCGGACTTTGACAATCGGTTTTTGATCATGTGGGCTTCATCCAGAATAACACGGAAAAATTCAACAGAGAATAAGCCGCCAGTACTAGCTGGAGCAGACATTTGTGATATGAAATTCCGATAATCCGACAGCACAACGCCATAACTGGTGATAATAACGTTAGGGGCTTCTGGATTATTTGCCGAGCAGAGCGATCTCAAGTCCACTAGTTTGTCGTTGCCATAATATAAGTGAACTTTCATCGTTCCGGCTTGAGACGCCTTCAACGCCTCGCTCTCCCACTGTGAGATCAGGGACGTGGGAGCAACGACAAGGGTCGTGTAAGGAGCAGGGACTACAGCATTAGAAGAAACAGGAAGTCTCGTAAGATCACTGATCGAGCTAGGAGCACTGTCTGCGTGATCTGGGTAGACGTTGCGATGAGCATGGACTAGAGCCATCATTTCGATGGTTTTGCCCAAGCCCATTTCATCTGCCAGGATGCCGCCTAAGCAATGTTGTTCCTGTGCCGGGAATTCCAAGCTGAGCTCGCCGGAGTATGGGTTGACATAGAAATGATCAACCCCCTCAACGACTGGGAGATTATTATCGTCCACATCCTTGACCGGCCACACATACTCTTCCCACAGCGGGTGCATTGACCTCTCCCGGCCAGACTTGTTGTCCCTCTCTTTTGCCAGCATCCAATGCAGCGCTTGCATTTGGTATTTCCGAAGATTCATGGTGAACGTGGATGGTGGCTCCGCCGTGGGCATGCTGAAATCGAACAATTGGGCCTTGTTATAAAGAGTATCCAGCTGATCTTCCTCAATTTCTGCGGCATCTTCTTCCTCGGACGAATTACCGTTGGACTTGCTTTCTTTTTTGTTTTTGTCGTATTGTTCTGCAATTTCTGCAGCGCGAAGCAGTCCCTCTTTCTTGTGCCTTCTTGTCATGTCATTAATCGATGTCGGGTTGAGACCTATTTCGTCGAATAGATGTACCAAAGCAACCTGACGGAGACGCAGACGCTTCTCCTCCGCGCTTTCTTGCTCCTCAAAAATAGTTGTGGATCTGTTATCGTCAAGGCTGCTATCGACGATCCAAGGCTGGAATGCCTCTATACGGAGATAGCACCATAATTGCAAGTAGATCGTATCGTTGACACGAACTCGATCCGGCGCATAGACGCAAACACCTTCAAACTTGCAAGCCTTCTGATCAATCAGAGTCGACACCCATTCCGCCGTCTCACGAGGCAACCTCCCAATCTCCTGGCCGGCACTGTTCGTGAATCGGGTTAAAACATCTCCTTTCTGATTTGTAATAAGCCTGCCTCCACGACCACGCTTCGAGACTGGCTGGGATCTCGCTCTCTCAATATTGACTTTGTCTCCGTGCTTCAGCAGCCCCATTCCGCTCCTCGTGGCCCACGCACCAACGCCAAAAGCCCCGATGTACCGTACCAGAGGTTGGCCCGTATGACGCGGCGTCCTTGCCTCTTGTGTGGGGGTCCTTTCAACAGAGGTAGGTTGCGAGGGGGTCGTCCGCTCCCGAGGCGTCAAAGTCGTTTGGTTCACTGCGCGAGAGGTCGAAGTTTTCCAGGACCCGTCGAAAAAGACATTGACGGCCCTCTCCAGATCATCACCGGCAACGTTTCGGATTTTCCGTAAGGTATCCGCCGGGAGTTGTTCGCCGACGATGCTCGTAAAGGCTTCCGTGTCGAATCCATCTGCGTTGCCTTGCTCGAGTGTCTCTTCCACCGTCGATTCCTCCCCCGGACGCCTCGCTTCCTCCGTATCGTTGGGTGTAGGGGCCGTAACGCCATTTATATCGTTCGGACTGTGAGTTTTGGTCTGACCTAGCAGGCCATTGTCGTGAATCGTCGCGTCTTCGGTCGTTCGTTCCTGTCTATTGATCTGAGTTCGGACACCTTGATCGGAGGCGATTTGGAAGTGGTCATTAGAAAAGAACGGCACCGACGGCCTCAGTAGAGTTTCTTGATTTAACGGCGATTGAACCTGTCCCTCGTACTCAACAGAAAAACCATTCTTGCCCTGGTCCAGGTGAGAGGATCGAGGAGCCGACGCGTCAGTATCTGTGCCAGTGGCAGTGACTTCTTTTGTGGCGAGAGCCGGTGTTTCTTCGTCCACGAAAAAGCGGCGTCTCTTCAAAGGCCGGTCATTAAGATCTCCGAAACCCATCGTTTGTTGATGAGTCGTGAATTTAGGATGCAGGAGACCAGAGCCTTGCAACGCAAAGGATCGTTAATAGGCAGGAGGCGGGAGACGCGCCGAGACACGCGAAGAGAAGCGCCCGCCCGACGTCATGCCAATTTCGCGGAGGAAAAAAAAAATCTACCAATCCGAGTCCTTTCTTAGGCCATTACACAGCAACGATCTTTATCTCAATCGAGTCATATCGCAAATATAATGCTTTATTGATCGGTGTGTATTCAAGTCCTGGGGCTCCAGATATTCAAACTAACAGCACAGGCTTTTGCATATCTCCCCAACCGTCTACTCTCTCTCCTCCCAGCCCAGTCCTTCGAGTCCGCCGCAAACACCATGACATTGCTCAGCGACCTCTGCCTGACCAACAGGCAAATATGCCGGTCTTTCCTCCGTTCTCGTCGACTTCAATCACATCAGATCCGACAATTCAGCCGATCTCAACCGACATTCAGCCAACCCGTCGTCGGCGCCTCTGAAGCCGAAGTCGCAGCTGCTCGAACATACTGCACAAATCTTCTCTCGTACGGATGCCAGACATAATCCTTCCTTGCCTTACGAGAAAAGCAGAACTAACACTCTCCGACTTCCTCCAGAAAATACGACCGACCCTCCTATACCCTCAGCACCTTCATTCCCCGAAATGCGCAAACGCTCTACCTCGCCCTCCGCGCCCTCAACGTCTCCCTCTCGCTCATCCCCGACACCACATCCTCCTACACGATCGGGCTCATGCGTCTCCAATTCTGGCGCGACGCAGTGACCAAAACCCTCTCGGGCGCACCGCCCAAAGAACCCGTCGCGATCCTGCTCGCCTCCGCCATCGCAGACCTGCATGCCCGCACGCAAGGCCGCGCCCGGATCAGCAAAGGCTGGCTGACGCGGCTGATCAACGCGCGCGAACAAACCCTGACCAACGATCCGTACCCGAATATCGCGGCGCTGGAATCCTACGCTGAGAACACCTACTCGACACTCATGTATCTCACGCTGTCTGCTATCCCGATGACCTCGGTCACGGCGGACCATGTCGCCTCGCATGTTGGCAAGGCGGCTGGTATCGCGGCTGTGTTGAGAGGGTTGCCGCTCGTGGCGTTTCCGGGGCCGCAGAGCCAGCATGCGAACTCGGCGGGCGCGAATATGACGGGTGGTGGGACAAAGCAGGGCGCTGTCATGCTGCCGCTGGACATTATGGCGCAGACGGGGGTCAAAGAGGAAGAGGTGTTTAGGCAGGGCGCGGAGGCCCCTGGGTTACGGGATGCCGTGTTTACGGTGGCCACGCGCGCGAGCGACCATTTGATTACGGTGCAGCGGATGCTGAGCAATCTGCGGGCGGGCCAGGATGTCGGGCATGATTTTGAGCATGAGGGGGAGGAAGGACACCAGTATGGTGATGAGACGGGTTATGAGGTTGGCGGTCAAAAGAACGAGACCGCGTTGGATGAGGTGAATCGGGCGTTTGGTGTCTTCATGCCCGCCGTCAGCACGAGGCTGTGGCTGGACCGGCTGGAGAGTTTTGATTTTGATATCTTCCGGCCGGAGCTGCTTGGGTCGGAGTGGAAGCTCCCCTGGAAGGCTTATATGGCTTTTACGCGCAAGACCTTGTAATGCGCTATCTGAGTGGTCGATACCCATATGTATAATTCATGTATAATAAGAAAGAGGCACCCCAGTTCTATGTATAAGTGGTTCTATGTACGGCACTTGTGCTCAAAAACACATAGTAAGCCAAAGTGTCATGATCTTTTGGTGGCCTTCTTCCTCCGCCTCTGCTTCCGTGAACTCGTGATAAGGCGTCGCTGAGCAAGTAAAACGATGTAACGCTTGAGTTTATCACGCCTAGAGCTATGGGTTAGCATGACTTCCGTAAATCAGGGGCAAGGGCAGGTTACATTAGAAACACCGTTGTTGCGAACACAAAAGGGATTGCAATCATCCAAAAGTACCTGTGAATTCAAGGATCAGTATACCTCAGGCCGAGAAAGTAGTTAATGGGTTGACTAACGCATCGCTATGCTTTATTCCAAAGAAGCTCTCAAAATTCATGCCAAAATAGCCCTGGTACGGTTAGTTGAGCCAGATACCGTGAGTAGGGATGAGGCAACCTACCGTTAGGAAAGTCAAAGGGAGATAGAAACAAGTCACAAGTGTCAGTTGCTTCATGCTTTCATTCTGATACGCTCCTAGAAGGCGTAAGTATATGATCCTTCAAAGTCTGGTCAAGAATATAGACTCACCAATAGTATTGAAAATTAGATCGATCATGTTGTCGGCGGCTCGTCTCATTTGGTCGTATTCTTCAACAATCGTAATGCAATGGTCTAGCGCATCTCCCAGGTACGTATGGCACAGGGGAGAAATAGAAATACTTGTGCCGCTCAGATTCTTCAAGTTGGGCACGGCTCCAAAATACCCCCCTGCATCTGCTCCGCCAGGCGTTGATGGCCCCAGATTTTTGAATGCACCAAGGCCTGGGGTGCTGGCAAAATCCGACCTATGGTCTCGGAGGGCATTGATCACCGTCACGATTGGCTGCATCGAGCCCCGCAGAACTCCAATTTCAGAGGTCAGGATGTACAGACTCTTCGATTGGTCGATATCAGGATCCGTCAGAACCTCCAGCTCCAGGTCACCAATTGCGTCTTGATATGCCATGGTCACTGGGATAGCGAGATCGATAATCGCGTCGAGAATTGCCTGTACAATCATGCTGGCATCGCACGACTGGCGCAGCATTGTCTCCGGAGTACTAAGGCGACGGACTATAGGGGCCTCAATATCGTCCGCGCTTGTCTCAAAAAAGGAGGTCACAGTGTTGTCTCCATGCAAAAATATAGACACTTGTTCAAGGGTAACGCCTATTCCCTTGGGAGCCAGAACTGCATGGCGTTCCATGAATGCAATCCTGTCCTCATTCGGCCCCCCTCGATAGCGTTGAATACTCCGAAACGTGCTCTCGGTCTGAGAAATATCATCGGCCTCCGCTAAATTGGATTTACCGGATGAAGGGCGAATGGTAGCACTAGTGCCGCGTCTCTCACGTAACATCTCCTTCTGGGAACTTAGCCCGATAATGTCTTTTAAAGCCGCCAGCACAAGACCATGCCTGGTGGGCTTCTTCGGAGCCGAACCCTTGGTACTCGAAGTCGTACTCCTCTTATCAGTTTTCCATTGCGATTGACCCTTTTCGGATTCATCATCCGAATCGCTGCTTTCCACGTGAAGCTTTATCAGCTTCTGCAGAGTGAGCACGATGTATGCGTGGTCTGAGTACCAGTCCACTTTGGTACGATTTGTTGTGTTGATCAAATCCTCGATTGCCAGCCTATGCAAGCCTTTCTGGTTTCCGAGAGCCCTGATTACATCCCAGCTGAGACCGTTGACGTTGATCCACCTGCACTGAACCCATGGCTCTCGCTCTCTGGCAAGGAACGCGCCCAATGTGTCGTTATCAAGCTCATACTGCCGCATTTCGTGCTGAGAGAAGTCCACAACGATAATTTCGCATCGTCGGTGTAGGTCAGAAGGTATATTACTCATCCAATCGGCATTATACGCTGGAAGTGGCTTGGTCGGATCAATCCCAGGCTCTGTCCCCGGTTGCCAGTTGGGATCGTGAGCCACCGAGTCCGGATGATACGAGCGGGCTGTGTTCGAGCGTCGCGTGCGATTCCTGATCGTGTCCTGGGAGATCCTTCGAGCGGCAGGGGGCAACGTTTCGGGAAATGTCAAATCATCTGCAGAAGGGGGGATACGAGTTGTCGGGGAGACTGCATCCTGCGAAATTGAGCCAGGCTGTGCTTCTATGTCGATGTCATTGTGAGAGCGTGACGACCCCTCCGCAATCCGTAGACGGTCAAGGGGATGCCCATCCATTGTGGCACGTGTGCGTTTGTATACTCGCTGGCAGTCAAAAGGGCCGAATCACCGTAGAACCATCGGTACAAAAGAACTAAAATCACACAATTCTCGGGAAATATTGCAAAACCGTAAGACACGCAATCACCAATTGTTCCTTGTAAACGTTTTGAAGTCGATGATCCACCGGCGCAAAGGGACTGGAAGTACAAGCTTCGGCAGGTGGGACTACCTCATGGCGGGGAGATGACGTTTGCAAACGGCACAACGACCCTTCATCCGCAGATCAAGGGAAGAAAGAATGAGGGAATATGACGATTTCAAAGCCAAATGCAACAAAAGTGTTCATTGCTGTAAATTAGGCCGGGTGAAACAACTAGCGGGTGATTTTAAGGGACACAGAGCTGCAAGTTTAGTTAGGAGTAGATAACGATCTAAACTTGGCGCATCACTAGTGCGGTGGCGATGCAATGATGACGGTGGGTCTTGCCCGAGCTTTAATTACTTGAAGAATTGGCAGAGCTTGATGGGATGGAATGGGCCAGTATCATTCAGTTTGATTTCGAGATGTGAACTATGGGAATTGGAATGCTCCACTGTGTGGTTTGAATAAATGTAGTCATATTTAGACTTGTCTGGGTATGTCCGTTATGGGCCAAAACAAGGTATCTTCCAGGTAGGACATGTCCCATGCACACGCTAATTCCAGGGATTTGAGAGTCGAGCGCTAGCTATGTGGGCAACCGCAGAGCCCTTCAAAATTCGATGAGACAAATAATGGCCAGGAGCGGTCTATTTGTGCAATGCATCGTTCCAACCGTATTAGCGTTCTCAGTGTAGGGGGGGTATCTTGAAAATTATTCCGAAATAGAAAGTTTCGTATCGTCGTTATCAAGGGTTCTGCCCTTGGGGTGAAGTTCTTTTTCTTGTCGCAAGTTTGAACTGCAGTGGCACAAGATTTCTTCGCGCGCCCGGGACATCGTTCCGAGAGAGAGGCTTTCGACAGATAGGACAAGTGCCTCGGGGAGTTTTGCCGGAAGTATCGGCTCGTTCTTCGCCGGATTTCAACGCGGTCATGATGCATTTATGGCAAAAGAGGTGTCCTACTAAAAGTTAGCAGCACTTTAAGACTGTGTTTCCTGTAAAACATACCACATGCTGTGGTGGTGGCATCAACAGGCGTATCCAAGCACACTCGACATTCAGCCTTCTTCAAGATAGACCGACCCCTTTCGTGCTCGGACCCTTTCTGCGCCTTGATTGCATCTTCTTGTTGCTTTGCCAGAGTTTTCGAAAGTGATGACGGCCCTGATGATTCAGTCAGGTCTATTGACGTGGTCGGTTCCGTCTCTCCATCACGTTCCTCCAAGTCAGACTCTAGAGACGGGTTTGCTGCGCTCGAGCGACTTAGCCGGCGGCGTTTTCTTCCGTGGGAGGCGGGCACGGAGGGGTCAGCCGGAGAGGAGCCTTCGGGTTCTTGCGAAAACGGATAGAACTCGTAGGGATCGGAGGAAAATAAGGAATCATGATCATGCGGATTCATGATGTGGAGGCGAAAAAGATAGACCGAGGGAAACGAGATGTGGCAGCGGGCGAGGTACAGAGATGCAGGGAAATGCAGATCAGTCTATTGTAGCCGACCCTGAGAAATACCCAGCAGTAGTGGCATGCTGAGGAGGAAATCTTCACGTTCTGGCGGGTCAGTGACTTCGAAGTCCAGCGATGAGGGAGGTAAAAGCGAGTGGTGCCTAAGGAAGCAGGCCGAACACTTATCGCAACACATCACCTGATGATAGCGATGAGATGCTCCTATCTGGGCAGGCGGTGACGATTACCCGGAAGATCATTAATTCCGGATCCGCCGCACGGCAGATACCGCGATAGGAAGGCATCCTTGCTGAGGCCCTCGCAGTAGCTTTGTCAATCCCTCGATATCACAGTTGCCGGTTACAGAGCTCACCTTAATACCATGGGATGAATCAAATTGGTGGCAATTATTACTGCACAACATAATGCTGTGGAGTCACTCCTGTGTACCTTATTCAAGGAGCGTGATTCATTCTTGCTCGCAGAAATTGCGCTCGCCACTCATTGCCCGGCCGCGGTCTTTTCTAGTACTAGCAAGGTATTATGCGACCCAACACGATGCGCAAAATGACCAGAGAGAATCACGACCGAGTTCCTTGTCAGGTAATTCCCCTTCTTCGATTTAATGACCTGCAGTCTATCGCAGATGCTGATTTTGTAGTCCCCGCGACGGCTAGATTCAACGAAATCGGAGTCCAACAACTGAGCGATCACGTCTTCGCCCAAGTCTTCCCCAATAAAGGAGCTTCTCCAAACCCAGACCTTGTTGCACTGTCGAAGGACCACCTTGCGCGACATGATCTACTCGGAAAATCCCAAGAGGCCGCAGAGCCAGTTGCATTTGACATGCCGAAACTCCAGGGCCAGACATTGGATGAGCATTTTTACAAGCTGGGAATGGATGCGTCGGAACCCTACTTGACCTACGCGAAAAGCTACGCCACCATAAATTCCCCGGAAAAGCCACGCCAGTGGGTTAAACGCAGCGGTTGGACGAAATACAATAGTGATGGATCGTCGGAGCCGGTGGATGCGCCAAATGAGTCGATATTGACGTTTGACACGGAAGTGATGTACAAGGAACACTCGTTTGCTGTTATGGCATGCGCTGTTAGTCCTACGGCTTGGTATGCCTGGCTATCGCCTTGGCTTTTGGGGGAATCGGAGAAGGAAGTGCAGCTAATACCGTTGGGGGACCCGTCGCAACCACGTATCGTCATTGGGCATAATATTGGGTATGATCGTGCGCGTGTGTTGGAGGAATACGACATGAAGCAGACGCGCAACTTCTTCGTTGACACAATGTCGCTTCATGTCGCTGTAAATGGCATGTGTTCACAACAGCGGCCTACCTGGATGCGGCACAAGAAGAATAAGGATATACGAGAAAAGATGGCCGACGAAAGCAATTCGGCTGAACTTGCGGCTTTAATCGAAAGCAAATCTCTAAGCGACGAGGAGGAGGAATTGTGGGTGGGCAGAAGCTCTGTGAACTCCCTTCGAGACGTCGCTAAGTTTCATTGTGATGTTACGATTGACAAAGCGCAGCGTGACTACTTCGGCGAGCTCGGCAGAGAAGAAATCTTGGGAAAACTAGAAGAACTTCTTGATTACTGTGCTGCTGATGTGGCTATCACTCATCGCGTGTACAAAAAAGTTTTCCCAAACTTCCTCAGGGTTTGCCCTCATCCCGTTAGCTTTGGTGCTCTCAGGCATTTGTCCTCCGTCATCTTACCAGTCAATGAGACTTGGGACGAATACCTCACAAATGCCGAATCGACCTACCACCAACGTCTGGAAGATGTGCAACGAAGACTAGTCGAGCTGTGTGATGAAGCTCTGAAAGTCAAGGACCAACCAGATATTTACATGAAGGATCCCTGGCTACGGCAACTCGACTGGTCCGGGCAGGAAATCAAAATGGCCAAGGGCAAAAAGAAGGGCGACCCTCCGCGACCGGTTGCCAGGCAGAAGAAGCCCGGGATGCCTAAATGGTATAAGGATCTTTTTCCCACGAGCACGGCGGATATCAATTTAACCGTACGGACGCGGATTGCGCCCATCCTTCTCAAATTGTCATACAGCGGACATCCGCTGACCTGGTCTGACAAATACGGCTGGACATTCAAGGTTCCTCGCGAACAAATCAAGAACTTTGAAAACCAGCCAGTCGTGCGCTGCATGATGGCGGAAGAGAAAAATGCCGAGTTGAAGAACGACTGGAAACACGCCTACTTTAAGCTTCCACATAAGGATGGACCACAAGCCCGCTGCGTCAATCCCTTGGCTAAGGGGTATTCGGGTTATTTTGAGCGCGGACTACTCACTTCGCAGTATGCCCTTGCGAAGGAAGCTCTGGACATGAATGCCTCATGCTCCTACTGGATCAGCGCTCGTGATCGGATCATGAGTCAGATAGTGGTCTACGAGGATGAAGTCCAAAATTCGGTTACGAACAACGATACCGGGAACAGAGTAGGGTTTATTATACCGCAAATCATTCCCATGGGAACTATCACCCGACGAGCCGTGGAAAACACCTGGCTTACAGCAAGCAATGCTAAAGAGAATCGGGTGGGGTCTGAGCTCAAGGCTATGATTAAAGCACCTCCTGGACATGTCTTCGTAGGAGCCGATGTCGATTCTCAAGAACTGTGGATTGCCAGTCTCATTGGCGACGCCCAATTCCAAATCCATGGTGGCAACGCAATTGGCTTCATGACCCTGGAAGGGTCCAAGGCAGCTGGAACTGACATGCATTCACGCACTGCCAAGATTTTAGGCATTTCTCGCAACGATGCCAAGGTCTTCAACTACGGGCGTATCTATGGCGCCGGCGTTAAGTTCGCCGCCACATTGCTACGTCAATTCAACCCGTCAATGTCCGAAAAGGAAACCCAGGAGGTTGCAAGCAATCTCTACAAAGCGACTAAGGGTACCCGTACCACTCGCCGTCTTCTGAGTCCAAATCCTTTCTGGCGAGGCGGTACCGAATCATTTGTATTCAACAAACTTGAAGAATTTGCCGAACAGGAACGACCCAAAACGCCGGCTCTGGGCGCCGGAATCACCGAGGCCTTGATGCGCCGTTTCATCAACAAAGGCAGTTTCATGACATCTCGCATTAACTGGGCGATTCAGTCCTCCGGTGTCGATTATCTTCACCTTTTGATCGTGGCTATGGACTATTTGATTCGACTTTACAACATCCAAGCCCGCCTAGCGATCACAGTCCATGATGAAATCCGGTACCTAGTCAAGGATGAAGACAAATATCGTGCGGCCTTGGCTTTACAAGTCGCGAATGTCTGGACCCGCGCCATGTTTTCACAAGAAGTTGGCATCAATGATCTTCCCCAGTCCTGTGCCTACTTCTCAGCAGTCGATATTGACCACGTGCTTCGCAAAGAAGTGGACATGGATTGCATTACTCCATCTCATCAGCAGAAAATTCCTCACGGCGAAACCCTGGATATCGTTCAACTTCTGGATAAGAACCAGGCTGCCTTCCTTGATCCCTCCACCACTCCACTCTCGCCGCCATCTCCTGAAAAGTATCCCTACACGCCACGAAAATCCGTCATGTCCTCACTGCAAACCTCCGACGATCCCGCATTTATCAAAGCACAAATCACCAAGGACGATAACGAATTCCGTGATATCATCAAGGAAGTCTCAAAAGCCAAACTCGCCGCGAAAAAAGCCAGCACTGAATCCGCAACTGCACCCAGAGGCGGCCGCCGCGCCATATCATCCACCACCCCGTCCGCCGAGCCTCAAAAGGCTGTGCTCGTTGACATCGGCTCTGGCCTCTACCATGACTTCCGAGCCGTCCCGGAAGGGAGCAGGTCTCCTCAGTCCGTTGGTCTCAATCGTCAAAATTGGAAGCCCAGGTCATCTGCAAGGGCTTGATAAACCAGACGGGGCCGTCTTTCCATCATTCTTTTCTTTTTCTTGCCTCCTATCTTCTCTTTGACGCCCCTTTTAGAATGACTAAATTTGTATATATAGGATCTTTAACTGTGACCATGGACCTTTTGTATTCAGTCACTCGATATCTTCTCATCTTCTGTATTATTTAATAGCGGTTTTTCGAATGCATTGGGATGGCGTCGCGTGAGCAGTTGCGGGGACATGATTTATCTTCCTTCTTATCTATGTACTTGTTTTATTTATGTTCATGTACCGTTACTTGGACTTTGTACGAGTGGCATGTTGAAGTGTGATGTTATAATCAATATAAAATGAAAATAGAACTTCTTTAATAGCTTCTAGTTAGTTTCCGACGTAGGTTTCCGGACGTATACCGATCCCGGGCCAGTTTTATGGTTCTCGCTTCGCTACAACACACTAGTTACATAAAGACATAAATAAGACCACCTATATTTATTGTGCTCGCGATATATAATCCACCCTGCAGGTATATGAAGAAAGAAAGAAATAAATAAATAAATAACCAAATCATTCGCGTCTTTTCCGCCCTGGATCTAATGTATTCCGCCGACTCAATCCGTTCCCATCACCGCCACGCAGCATCGCGTCGCCTTTCTTTCCTAGAACAACTTCCAGGGCTTGCACAAGCGCCGTAGAATCGTATTTCATACCTACCGGAACCTCTGAGCCATCGGCACCGATTGTAACGATCTTCCGACCGTAGAGACGGAGCGTTTCGATGCCCATGTCCGCTAGGCGGTCGCGGTCGACGCGAGGGGTTCCAGGGCCGTCGAGGTGCAGGATATGCGTGACGTACGAGGAGTATGGGAGATTAGGATCAAGAGAAGAAGATGGGTGCCGCTGGTGGTCCGATAGACGGAGGGTCGTTCGGCCACGGCTTTCTTCACCGGCGCGAGTGATCGCCTCGACGAACTCTACTGCTGTGAAGGGCTCGGAAGGCGGGCCTGTTTCGCGATCTAGGGATCCGTTTAGGATAAGAATCTTATGGCGTGCGGGGCTTGCGACGATTGCTTGTCCGACTCCTCGGAGGATCAGGGAGGGGATGATGGATGTGTATAACGAGCCGATACTGTATGTTATTGCCTGCGCATCGCGCAGGGCTTCGAGCACGCGCGGATTGGCCGGAGGTCGGATCTCCTGACCGTAGGGATTGATGTACCAGATGCGGGTAATGCGTGAGGGAAGATCTTCGTTCTCCGACTTAGAAAATTGTATGTTCTTGTTGCGTAGAGTGGGCAAGGACCCGGGCAGGTGGTCATCCTCGTAGGAGATTGCGTCAGAGACATCGGGCGGCTCAATATCTTCAGCTCCATCGGCGAGTAGTAAACTGGGCCGTCGAGACCCAGGTCGAGGTTGCAGAGCGGTAGCCTCACTGGGGTGTGAAATACTATTCTGGCCGACGATAACCGTGCCGTCATCCAGAGAAGCGGAGATGTGGTGCGAGAAATTGGAGTTGATCGCAGGAATCACACGAACAACGTCCGAAGGGACTCCACAGATACTCCCTAGAAGATAGATTGCGCTCTCAAAACTTCCACTAAAAAGGCGAGCACCGGTCAAGAACAAGTTGCCAACACTGGCAGAAGTGAAGTCAAAAGTGGATGATGGCGGTCTGGCGCGTTTGAGGATCTCCAAGTTCAGAAGATTGAAAAATGAGCGGACCAGCTCCTTCTTTGCGGGAGTGATCGATCTCCAGAGACTGGAGGTCCCATCGACGATCGACTGCCATTCGGCAAGAGCTGCCCCAGCATCTGGCGGGAGGCGATGATTGAAGATGGTCTTGATTGCGGCCCGTTCAGAGTTTGGCGGGCAGTCGGGAATGAGCCGGACCAAACGACCTGGAATTCTTGTGAGATGGAGAATCAAAGCATGACGATTTGATTTTTCGAGAGGACTTACTTCGGACATCGCCAATCCCAGGACCGCCAAAGATTCGGATCAGCTCCGAGGATGAGCCTCCATTATCGCTGATGGGGATGATGTAGCTGAGCAGACAGCTCTTACTATCGCGCACGCTGCTGAAAACATCGACCAGATTATTAGCAGCACTTCCTCCTGAGAAAACCACCAGGCCTCTATTGGGGGTGGTTGTTGAGGTCATGTTTGATGGAGACCCCAGATGATGTGGCGAATGTAGTGAGGATCATCTAGTTCACTTTAGTGTTTAGGCATTTCCCCTCCTAGATTCCAAGGCAAACGATACTGCCCACCGTGCCACAAAAGTGGCCCGTGCGATGCAAATGGGCAAATCCAGTATGCCACCAATTGTTGACGGGAAATGTGCTACAGGAGCGAGAGATGGAGGCGAGGAATGGAAGATGAAAGCAACGAAGACGGCGGCGAAGAAGAAAAAAGAATGCTGGCGGTATATCCCGAATAGGCAGGCAGTCCCACGTGAACATCCAGGCCAACAACTCTACTATACAGCTTCAAAACTACAAAATTGACAGGAGATCTTATTCACCATGCTATATACAGTCATTGTTTTACCTATTCATGCATAAGCGGCCCAGCCTAAAGACGTTAACGTTAGTCTCTTTTGGAGAGTTCGGGGACAGCGTATTTCAACTTACCGCAATAAAGAACCGCGAGGTTCTTTTCATCCGTTGCTTGCTGGATGAGCTCGTTGACTGTGGCCGTCACGCTCAGTGTTTTACCCAGCTTTTTGGCCACCACCGTTAACGCACGGTCAGCTTCACTTGGTTCGTTAGACGGGCGTTGGTCGGCCGCACGCGGAGGTTCAGGCGCCCCATTCGATTCTGGGGCGTCCTGAATTTTCCTCATCCGCAGTGGTGATACAGTCCAGCTGTACAGGGGATCGTAGCGGAGCACGTCTAAGATAGTCATGATACTATACGATTCCTGACGAAGGGCCTCGAGTGTAAACTCGCAACAACGTCGGAACACTCCCTCCGTCTTGGTAATGCCCATCCCGTCAACCAGGTCGCGAGTCAATCGGAATGGAACCACTTCAGGGACTGGTAGCACCCGACCTTGCTCGAAAGCTACTCCCAGATCGATATGCACGACCTCGCCTGTCCGTTCGTCGAGAAGAATATTGTGGCCGTGTCGATCTCCTAAACCCAGAACATGGCCCAGTATCGAGATCGCAGCAGTGCTCCGCGTGTACGCGAGTCTCTTTGCGAACCAGTCATCTGGGTTGTTGAATTTCTCCATAAAGAAAAACCTCATGACCGGATGGAAGTGGTCAGTCACCTGGCGGAAGGTCTTGACCCGGGTTTCAAATGATCGTGTCTGGACATCACCAATGTGCTTTCGGCACACGTTGGGTTTCATATTCTTCGGGAAGTATCTTTGATGTGCTGGCATCAAGAAATCGTGCAGCGGAACAGTGTGTGGAACAAACTCAATGATCCCGGAGTTGGACGTCAAAGGGAGGACTTTGTATGTTCGAATCCCCAAGTTCCGCTGCCGAGTCGCTTGGTGGTCCTTGAGGAGGCTACTGACTTGGTCAAATACTTGCTCCATGATAGCATCTTGCCGTAGATCATCATTTCCTCCTTTGAACTGTTCCATGCAGTCAGAATGATTAAAGTTTCTTGCAAATGAGACAAAGGGGCAGAGGGATATAATTCTTACCAGCTGTTTATAACGTTGACCGTCGGTGGCAAAAGCAGTGAGGATTTTCGGTGCACTGACACCAGACGCGACTGTAAACTCGGAATTGAATCGAACAAGCTTAGGAACATCGCGATAATCACAGTCAATACGAATGTCAATACTCATAGTGGGTGGCGGTAGTCTTTGAGTAGCAGCATCTTGCTCGAGACGTTGGCCAGACAACAATTTCTTTAAGGAAACTCTGGCACCGCTTTTAAGCTTGTCATCCATCCGATCGACTGCGAATCGCACATAGTTGATGTTTGTGTTGTGGACAGCGACCCAGGTTGGCCCTATGCGCTTGTCTTTCTTCAGGCACTCTACCAGCCTGCCTGCTGCTCGATTGCGTGAAAGCGCGGTCTCGTCTTTGCCGCCCTTAGATTTGCTGCTTGAGAATATTTGATACATGCCGTGGAATGGATGCTCCACGCAGATGCGAAAGATGAGCGAGAATAGCATCTTCTGAAAATCATCGGAAACATCCAGCAACCGAGAACTCAGCTGGTTCATCAAGGGGGCGAGCTTCCTGCTGGGGACTTGATGGAGATATTTCGAGACCGCGGCATTTGCGATATCGCTCTCGGATGTATCAAGCCACAGGGCACAGAATCTGAGTGCATCGTTGTTGTACCTTTCACTCTCCTTTAGACAAAGGAGGTAGTTCTCGAGAGACTGTTGAAGGAATGCCTCGCGACTTCGTCGCAAACGTTGATACTCGCGATCGTCAAGGTCAAACCATTGCTTTGTCTTTGTTCGGTGGTATCGAAGACCGTCTCTGTCCTTCGCCTCGGCATTCTTCATCATTTCCTCCAGATCTTGTACCTCCTTTTGCTTGCGGTTGCGAATTTGCTCGATTCGTCTGAAATCCTCCAAACTATCGGGATTCTGTAGTTGCTGGTCGCAAAACATCGCAAACCCATGGTAGACTCGACCAGCCTCTTCGCCGCCTGCTCGGGTTTTCAGCTCTTTGACTGCAGGGGCTAGGTACTCTTGAATAATTGCTTCCGGCTTTTCCAGACGTGCCTCGGCAACGTGATGGCCCTTGTATCGTTAGCTTCCTCGTAGCAGGCTAGTTCCGGACAATGACCTACCAAAGTCACTAAAAGCTCCGCACGACTTATTGGTACTGCCTGTTTATGTAGGTCATTCTGCTCATCGAGCTGTTGGAGCATCCGAATTGAGGCAGTCATTTCACCCTGGTCCCATAAAACGTTGGCCAAATCAAATTTCGCCGCGCCTTCCACATTGATGCCTAAAGAAGTGCAGTGATCAGCAAGTCTAGAAAGACAGACCGCTGATTTTAAGGAGGCCTGCGCAATGCCATGATTCCTTGTAGTTTTGAGTGACTGGCGAATGACATTCACTTCTAGAAGTTGCGCTTGTCGATCGTTTAAATTGATCGCAGACTTCAAGTAATCTTTTCGCTTGATCGACGAGAAAAGAGCCTCATGGCAGTTCAGTATTTCTCCCACCTCGTGCACACTGTACATATCATTAGGCATATTTCATAAATTAAAAGAATTTCGGGCGAGTAAGGAGACCATACTTCGTGTTCTTTAGCCAAGAGCTTCTACTTGCAATCTTTTCCCATTCATGGTCTATCTCTTCAGCCGATTTGGCACACAAGACATCGCTGATTTCAGCCAATGTCCCAAGGACTCTTGTCGCAGTTCGTAAGGACATCGCTGATCGACTATTACTCGTTAATGAGTCAAGTGTTGCCAGGAAGCTTTCCTCGATGGTCACAGAGACGTCAGGTAAGGCAGCTGATGTGTTAAGAGTTTGGAAGGCCCTGAATATGGTCGCAGAAGGCGAAGGGTTCAACGGAGAAATTGGAATGTCCCATTGTCTCAGGTTGGTTGCAGCTTGGAGCATGCTTTCGAATGAGACTGCCATGTCCTTGGTGCCTCCTCCAGTAGAGGTGAACACACAATTTGCAATTCCTTGTAGGTTTGTTGAATTCAGCGCTTTCAGCACACCAAAGTTGTTCGGACTTCCCGACATCTGCTTCTCACTGTCGTACTTTGCGCTCTGGAAGAGAAGATTTTTGAATCCAGAACTTTCATGTTCGAGTGTCTCCATGACTGACTCCAGGGAGGAACTTTGTGGGATGCCGTAAAAGAAGTCCGGATCATCTATGTTCTTAAAAATTTCATGCAACTCTGCTGGCGGGGCACTGAATTTAGCGACTGATGAACGACGCGATGAAGACACGGCACGAGAAGCATGTATCTCGAGAAATAATAATGCGGTCTTTGGTAAGCGACAAGCAGTGGCAGCCGAGGAGGCTTCGGCGAAATCTATAGCAAGCCATTCATCACGCTCCACAATAGTCGACTCATTAGGCCTGGGTTGGTTTCGAAGATAAAGCATGCAATTGATTACGAGTCGTGCATGTGGGATCGTCTTGTCATTAACTTCCCGCAAGACCTGGCTGAAAACATCTGAAATCCTTTGGCGAATGGTTCCATCGCCGTCAAATTCTGTGCATAAAACATCATGGAGGATATAAGGCAGAATGTAAACTGCAAGCTCAGGAATAGCGCAGAGAATATTCTTGAGCGGTCCAATAACGGGGTCCTCAAAGGCCGCTTTTGACAGAAACATTCCCACATTGCGAGCCCAATGAGAAATTGAAAGGCCTGAATCCCAGTTGATGACAGCATCATGCACTTCAAATTCACGTATAGCAGGGCATTTGTAAGGATTCCAGGTAAGAGCCTTCATTAATGATGGTGGTATGACAATTCCAGCCTCTTCATAAACGTTTGACTGTGCCAAGTTACTGACAATGAGTTGTAAAGTTCGCTCGAAGAGACCAACGTCCATAGGCTTGCTGCTCTGTAGTCTGTTGCACAATTTTTGGAGTATGCTGGCTTTTGAATAGAAAAACGGATCCAAAGACAAATTGGAAAGGTTGGTTTTGAACAAAGCCAAATCCTGCTCTCTCAACAAGTCATTGCTAATGCTTCCGGTAGCAGCAAACTCTCGCCCGATGATTCTAGCAGCCCATAGTTTGTATTGAGAACTGGTTTCAAAATTTTGCAAAGTTTCATAGATAGCCACAGAGTTAGGCACATGGTGGGTTTCCTCTCCAGTTGTGGGCTGGCGGAAATCGGGAGGCTTGTTAGAGTCGATGCACAACAGCGATATGACATGATCTGATGTAGGTTTGCTCAGTAAACTTTTGTCCGAGCTTCGGTCATCGAGAACGTCGAAAAGCAAATCACGCTTCAATGTGTCATTTGGGCCCCCTTTTGTCGTGAGACCCCCTTGGGAAGACTTGAGCATACGGCGAAACAATTCACGCGTCGCAGAGTTCAGTACCGAAGAGTCGTACGTGTCCAGGTACGCCTCAAACCATTGCATAAATGCTTGGATGGTGGATAATACAACTCTTGACAGGCTCTCGTGAACTGTTTTCGCCGGAGGGGAAGCCACAAAATTTCTCAAAGACAAGAAAGTGGAAACAGTTATTCCAGCCATGAGACTTGGGTTCTCAATTAAATAGTCCCTGCCTGCCTCCAATAAGTACCAAAAAATTCCCAGCGCATCCTCAGAGCAGTAAATGTCCGTGAGAAATGGCCGGAGAGAATGGAGAAGCATCTCAAAAGGATAGTCTCTCAGCATGACAGGCCCGGCTACGCATACTAAGATTCGAATTTTTCGTATAACAGAACAAGCATGAAGGGACCCAAGAGCCGGATGTATCAATTCCAATAAGGCGCGGCAGATGTAGGAAGCCAGTGTAGGTGTCCATATTGTATCAAGCTCGTATCCGCTCCGTTTGCAAAAGAATTCGAGCTCGTCAAGGAGGTAGCGTGCCCTGAAAGAGGGTTGTTGGTTGGCAGGAAGAACAACCTTCGAAAGACTTTTGCCCGTTATGTTTTTCATGGTTTGAAGAGCGCCATGGTAGCTCTCGCGTTTCAAGAAAGCCCTTTCAACCTGCTCGTACTGGTCCATTGAGACAAAGAAAGTTGCAATTGTCTGTGCAAATTGCTGATCAATTGATTCCAAGAACCTCTCGGTCCCTAGTATTTTCTTGACCCTAGTTTCCACGCCTTTTGGCTGACTTCCTTGCCCAGGGGGGGTACCGATATCTCGTGCAATTGTGTAGGCCTCTGCTTTGTAGAATGACTCTGCTAGAAGTTCGGTCCAAGCCTTTTTCATGTGCTTTGAGAGTTCCGCACTGTCGTTGTCTCTTGCGCGCATCATTATTTGACCAACAACCTCATCCTGAACATCGTTCAGCATGCTTTCGAGGTTCGGATAGCCGAAAATACTAAAAGGCATCAATGCAATAGATTCTGTTTCGGTCCAGGTGTACAGTATCTGGGAAGAGAACAACCGAAAGAGCTCTCGCGTATCTTTAAGTCCAAGGATCCGTGCAACACTACCCACACATTTCTCGGCGTACCAAAGTGATTCCGGAATTTGAGCTGGAGTCTCAAACATATGGTAGATACTCCTCCGCAGCAAGGTATGCCACTGGGAAGCCAACTGCGCTAGGATGAATAAACGAAGAGCAATTCCCTCGCACCAATCTGGGTCTCTTGGAAGACTGTCTAGGATATCATCGAAAATAGCGTCATGATCTTTCAGTGGGTATTGGTTAAACAATTGACAGATGAGATCTGCAGCACCAAACTTCACGGCAATATCACCTTCCTGTATGATAGTGAGAAGGCTGGTTCTTGCAGACGGACTTGACTTCCCACTGGTGAATGAAGTGTTCGATTTAAGGACACCTCCCAAGAGCTCGGCGAATCCTATCAAGACCGAAGGTGAAGCTCGCCCTTTCGCTAGTAGCACATCGGTAAACCAAGTATAAATGTCTGAAGCCGAGTCGCTCAAGTGGTCACTTTGACCTGCTACCCACGCTTCGACAAAGCTGTGCATCAAATGGATACAAAGAATGTGGGAGTTTTCGCAGCGCTCGAGCTCATATGATTGTAAACATTTCTCACCTGTATCCTCTAGTACTCTTAGCATTGAGGTGCGTTCCATGCCTGAGCAAGCGCGGTAAACATGGGGCAAGAAGTCTCGCGCAGACAGAATATCAACTTCATCCAAATCTGCGAGATACTCAATCAAATTACTGCTTGCAAGGTGTCCATTTTCATCTGTAGGTACCTGCAGCCTCCGGAAAACAGACAACTCTATCGTCAAGCAACGCTGAAATGTAGCAAAGTCGTAGAACAGAGGTATCGCCACTCGGTTCATGTTTATGATAGCCCTAGTCTCTTTGGGTCGATCATTAGAACCCAGCAACGGATCGTCCAGGTCCATGTGGTCTTCTCCCTGAGCAGAAAGCTGCCCTCTTTGAGTCTGTCTGTGACCTTCAAGAACTTCGGACAACGGGTTGATGATTTTGTGAAGAAATTTGAAAATCGCGGACTTGGGGCCTGGAAAGCAGAGTTTTTGGCCGAGAAAAGGAGATAGAAGCACGAGGCAAGCCTGCACAAATTCCAGGTCACGGCCACCCAAAAACAAACATATGTTTTCCCATAGACTCTCAGTGTTCTTCTGTAGATTCTGTGAGCGCGACTCGGCTTGTTTTGGCATGGACTCCGTATACAATGTAGATATTATGCAGAAGGATGCCAGTATTTGCACAACATCCACAGTGATATGAGTAGATCTATCCTCTGACAGAGATCGCCAATTTTGTAGGAAGATCTCGGATTTCACGTGCAAAAGCTCCAGTATCATGGTGTCATTTGGGTCTTGCTGAGTGAATATGTCCAGGTTTATCTCCTCTTGTGGGCACCATATGTTGACGATGTCGAGGGACTCTTCCAGGTCAAAAACGTAACTCAACAGCCGCTTGGTCTTATGGAAGAATTGCCAGCCTCGAGCAACCAAGCCCACTGGCCCTCTGTATTGAAGCATAGGTGGAGCATATGGCCTATTTGTGCATGCTAGGATCAAATTGAAGATATCCAAAGGACGCGCAAAAGTAGCAACTTGCGCTGTGAGTATCCGATCAGTTATTGTGCCTAGATCCGTCATTAGCAGCACCAATTAATAGATTGCCTGTCCAAAACGAACCAATTGTCCAAGCCTCTCGTAGCCACGTGCAAATCAATTTAGATGCATGTGGAACGGATCCCGGGTTTATTTGGGCAATTGCCCTAGTTACCGTAGCCCAAAAAGCCAGCGACGAATCCGACATCAATGATGGCCCGTTCAAGTTCACAGATGAAAGCATCGAATTAATAGCTTCCGCGCTTGCTGAATACTCTAGAAGTTCGAACTGAAGAAGGGATGCCATGAGCGTACAGGCTGCCCTTGATGTTGTATGGGAGGTAGAAGCACGGGATGTGAGATCCCAAACTCGTTGCCAATCGTCATTTAAAGAGCTGGAGTCGACGCCTGGACTACCAGCAATACTGTTACGAGCGTTCATTAGCTTTCTCCCCATAACACTATTTGATGAGAGACACTATGCAGAATAAAGTGCTCACAATATTCACCTACCTTGCTATCGCCACCATTGTCCAAGATGATATTGTGCTGCTATCATCAAGTATGCATGGGGTTAAACGTCGGAGCAATGATTCCTTTGATTCGACGCTCACTTTTCCTTTAACAAGGAAGGGAATCAGCTGTAGCGCACATACTCTTTTCGCACCTGAAGATGTCGTGGAATCTCGCAAAACGTCTTGGATCATCGATGTTAGACGCTGCCTTTTGTTCGATGCCTCATCTGCATTACGAAGCAAGACTAGACGAGAAATAACTTCTTCTGACATTTCCATCAATTTTGCTATGGCCCATACTATAGTCCAATTGTGCTCTGATCTGGGCATTTCACGGCGAGGGCCTATCAAGAACCTTTGCTCCTGCGAAGCCTTTTGGTAGAATATCAATTCGTCAATTTGCAGAGAGTCCTTCTCCGGTCGTCGGGTGTATTCGAAATATAAAGCATCCACCAGGCTTTCAATCAACTGAGCCAGTGATTCAGATGGTTCCCTCCGAGCTGCATTGATTATGATGACCATACAAAGCATGATAGTGACAAGTAACTCATCCTTTAAGCTTGTCAGCTTAGTGGTCCACAGGTGTCGTATCGTAGGAATCAAGTCCAGCATGGATGTTCGAACAAGGCTTGACTGGTCAAACAAAACTCGCATGGTAACAGAGTTCAAGCTGCTGATCGCGGCCAGGTGGCCACTCCCAATGCTTGCTGATGATTTGAGGAATTCCGCCAGCCCTTCAAGTATTCTTTCGGCAGAATCTTGGATCGGGGCACTCGGACTCGCTGTTAGCACCTGAATACAATTCAGAGCCTCAGTTATCGCGCTCTGATTGCCCCTGGGCTTTTCTCTGACAGCTAAAGCTGAAGTCGCCCTGGAGGGTGTCGAACCACGACTACCACCACCGGTCCGAAAGTCGTCTAAAGTGGATCGACGACTGTTCGAGAAAGATTGTTCATTCTCTTCATTTTCTGTGAGGCTTATGCTTCTAAGACATAAGCTTACAAGCTTCTCCCATTCACTGGCACTTAGATGCTCAACATGTGGGGGGTAGTTAAGAAGTGTGGAGAGACATTTGGTGTAATCAACACCTAGGAGGTCAAACAAGTCATACCGTGGCGTCAACAGGGTATCGGTTATATGATCAGTGATTGCACGGACAGATTTGATTCGCAGGTTAGGCAAAAAGACATCAACGGCCGTCCGTATCACAGATGCACAGGTAGACAAGCGAGAGGCAGATGGCCCCTTGGAATTTGCTCGTGTAAACGCCGACTTCTCGGCCGCGATGAGCCGGAAAAGAGATTCAAGAATCTTATGGCATGCCTTATCATTCAACGAGCTTCTACAAAGCGCGCAGGCGTCAGCTCCCGCGGCGACAGAATGGTAGTCTCGACTTACAATTTGGAGTTTTGTTTATTCTGTTGGAAGATATGCTTCAAGTCTAGCAGAGATTAGTGAACGATCTGAGGATAGCTTTTTCCTATCGTCATACTAGCCAACCCATCCGAGCGCTCTTTCTGCTTCTCGGATGACAGAAGCACGAGTGCTCTATCAAGAGAAATTTCGCCCATGGCGGTGCTGGATTGTGGCTAAAATCTACGCAAAGCAGCCAAGGCCTATGGACATCATTTGTCTTATGTCATTGGTCAGGCGAGAAAAGCACTCATTCTTCGATAACAAGGCTCTGTGATCACCAGTCACAACAGACGTAATAGATGATAAAAATGGGATATGACAGTTGATGGTGCTGGCATGGCGGTAGGTCGCAGACAGTAAATAAAGCCGGTCGAATAGATAGATTGAGCGGGCGGTGTGGCGCAGGTGAGCTCCGCCGCTTTTAGCTCGGGAATTTTGGTCGCGTCCTCCGCCTTTTTTGGTCGGTGACAAACACATGGTCCTTACCATCCTTCTCTTCCACGGCGACCCCCGCCAAAGCACGCACGATCGCTGAGCATGGAGGACCAGGATACTCTGGCTGGCCTTCGTGGCCTATACCAGGATCTTTCTGCTCTGTCGAACTCTTCTTTTGTAAACATCGACCGTCTCCGAATTGAGCTGGAGACTCACATTGAAGATTTCAGGAAACTCCTCGATCGGCCCAGGAAAAACAATTCCAGTCGTCAAATTGTCATTTCTGGTGTGTATATTCGACACTGAGCCTCAACCCACCGAACGGCCGATTTTTCTGGGGCTAAGGAGCTTGCTGATCATGTTTGCGACAATCTAGGGAAAATAACGGTGAACAACGTCGAATATTCGGTCAACGATGCATTCAAGGAAGGGGCTCTGCAGCTTGCAGATGCTCTGGATATCGATGAGGTAGAAGCGGCAGTGCTGTTTTTAGAGGCACAGGAAGATGCACAAGCGTTGGATCGATCCCCTCTCGTCGCTGCGATTATGCGTTTCCACGAACGTCGGCACTTCTTGCTCGACTCCCTGCGCCTTATCTTCCAGGAATCCTTCGAAGTCGAGCGGGAAGCGAACCAGACTCTTATGCAGGAGGTTCTGGCTTTTGTTGTCGAGATAAAGGACGGTCCTTTGCGAAACGCATCGCTGTATACGCGGAAATGCATGACATCAATGGAAGACATTGAGAAATGGATTACTCTCCTTGGCGAACAGATTCAGAAAGCCACGATCGTGGGCCAGTCTGAAGATCTTGAGGTTATGGAAGCTATTGAGTACCAGCGCAGTAGCTTGCAGCAACAACATGAATCTCTGGGCGCAATCCTGTGCTACTTGTTCAAAGGACCTTACACCAGTTCCGAAGATCTCCGCGTACTTTTAACCCGCCTAAGAAAGCTGGATCGATTCGATAGCCTACTGGTGCATTACATTCCTTCGATTGTTTCCTCGTTCGTCCAGCATGGATCACCTGAAAGCTCCGGTTCACACAAAGACGCGCGAGGACTTCATACGGAGGTGACGTCCACCAAAGACGGCCAATCTTGGCGCCTTCCGACTTTCCATTCATCGATCATTGCACTCTGGCTTGCGGTATACAGTGGCTGGGATTTTGACGGTCCATCCTCCCCAATTCCTGGCGTTGACCCCGCGAAGGAGGTCGAAGAACGCACCAAAATGTTCATGACTGCGCTGGACGATGGAGGATTAGACACAATGCTGGCCATCTGCTCCGGAGTTAACAACGAAGAATGGGCGGATCCGGCTCGCAGCGAACTAGTGACTTTGTTATTAAAAGAAAGCGCTTCGTCTACGCTCGATACGGATGCCTGCTCTGCATTCTTCAAGGCCCTGTTGATGGAGTATTTTGAGGTATTCGCAGAATCGTGTATCGCGAATATGCCAGATGCAGTTCGAAAGCTCAAGTCGGAAGAAGACTCTCAGAGATTGGATCAGATCACCGCACTTAGAGACGGTCTAACTTCGAGTCTCCACCGTGGTCTAGTCGAAGCTCGGACTCATCTTGAGACTTTCCTCGTGGTTATGGCCTTTGCATTTGAGCAACGTCCGGATGCTGCGCAGGAATTTTGGGCTGACCCGGATGGAAACTTGTATGGTTTCCTTCAATGGGCCTCGAAACGACAGACTGTACCGCGTGTAAGTGCGTTCTGTGAATTACTGTGTTCTATTTCAAGTGGAGAGGAAAACGCTGCTGCGGCGCATAGATTCCTCTCTGAGGAAGAGAAACTCATGTCCACTAAATTCAAGAGATCTACATCTATGAATTGGTCGCAGATGTTTGCCGAGCTGCAGCTTTATGCGACAAAGGTCACTGAAAAGCCGTCTTCCTCGCAATCCATGCTACGAGCCCGGAAGTCCGAGCCCTCTGACATGAGTGAGCCAGAAAGTCCGGTGATGTTGACTTGTTATCTACGGCTGATGGGCCATTTGTGTCGGCAAAGTGTCGCGATCAGGGATTGGATGCTCCTCCATCCTTCCTTCAGCATTGTCACCACATTATTGACCTTATCAAGTGGGCCCATACCTACTCACCTCAGAGCGACTGTGTTCGATACTCTGTCAGCCTTAATGACTGACCGGACGGCTTCGAACGGCAATGAGATGTGGCTTTCGATCGATCAGTGGATCTCCAGTGGATCAATGAGCGCATCTGGCCATGGGAAAGTTCCCTTGGTCTCAAATCCTCTTGTGTGGCATGAGCAACAAGCTTTCCAGAAGATTGGCGAGGGTTTCGACCAAGCCAACGCCTTTGTGACCCTTGTGTATTCACTCGTGTCTCCTACCACCGACTCCGCGGAGAACCACCTCTCGCTTCCCTTCCCCGAATCTCTGGGCTCGTCCTATCGTATGCCGGGAATTGAGCCTTACATTGATTTCGTCCTCGGTCGAGCATTATCGCGACGAATCCCCGATCTCAACGAACGTCAAGTTCGTATGCTCACCTACAATTGTTTGGACTTCGTTGTGACTTGTCTGAAATCCTTCAACGAGAACATTGTTACAGTCCTCAGTCAGCCCAGCATATCATCCGATAATACACTCAAAACTCAATCGCTGGTCAATTACACCCGGCTCCATCCGTTCGCACGGGTGGCTGAGTGGCTCTTTAATGAAGATGTTATCAAATCGATCTTTGCAGCAGCTAATCAAGATATTGCAGATGTTGCTAGGTCTGCGGCTGACTCGGTCTTGGTTCTTTCTGTCGTACGCAGCCTCGAGGTCATGGACCTAATGATGGATCTCCAGTCGACCTACTTCAATATTGTTCGCCCATTGGTCAAGTCTCAGGCAGGAGGAAACCGAACCAATGTAGCAAATTCTGCGCTTTCTGCATTTGAAGACAGTATCCTCAACTATCTGTCGATCATCCCCGCTTTATGTCTCTACTGCAGCACCGGCCACGAGCAACTCACTGTCACATCCATGGCGCTGTTGGAGAAACTCTCCAGCTCCAAGAAACTGAACAAGGTTTCGTCTCCTGAATTGTCCAAGTGGAGATCGTCGAATAAAATAGTTGAAGTACTGAGTTCAGAAGTGGATGTTGACAGTGTATCGCGCCCGCTTGTCTCCCAAATGCAGCCTGAAGCCAGGGAACTTGAAGTTGGGGCACAGTCAGCTGGTTACATCATTCGTGAGAGCCTGCTCGCGCTTCTAAACTCCTGCTTGGGAACAATCACGGATCAGCCAACGATAGCGCACATACTTCTCGGATTCCGCAGTGTGGGAAATATCCTGGATGTTTCTCCCTCGGGGCTTTTCTCGCAGCAAGCTTCGTTATTGCATGCCATTATCGAATTTCTGCAGAACTACCCCGATGAAATGAATGGGAACATCTTACCGTGGATGGTGCGCCTCAAGCGTATGGGATTTGAAGTTTTGAAACACCTGTGGTCCTCAAAGCTCTCATCCTACTTCACCCTTTCTGAAATGCGTTCCAACCGCTTTCTTCTCAATACCCTCGCAACCCAACCCATAATTGGACTACACACCCCATGGGATGGGTTACCCATCTTGGCCGAAGAATTCTGGGTTTCCAAATCAACGACTGCCCTTGCGGAATTCTTACTATACAGAAGCTATCTGTACAATTATGCTGCAACAGAGATCCGCTCCGCCACCAAACTTGGTTCTCCGACTCTACAAGGCGACATCCTTGCAACATTGTTTGGAAATGCGGTCTCAGAAAAGGGCGAGGGTATTGTGACTCCTACTGTCTTCGACCTCTTCGACTTTGCGGACCTGGACATTAGACACCCGCTTCCTCCGCCTGAGTTGGTGCTTCTTAGAGATATCGGCGTGGAGGCGTGCGCCAAGGCACAGGCTGATGACTCACTTGTCATTTACAACATGGCCGAGCTGGAGGAGCTGATCCAAGTCAGGAAGGAAGAACTGCATTCAATCGCGCATCTGCGAACTCCAGATGAGGAGCAATTCATAGCCGAGGCCGAAAACTTGACACTCTACATACTATCGGTCAATCAGTCCCGGCAGATCATCTTCAACCACTACCTAGCTCTTCAGTCTTGGACGGAGCTCATAACAACCATTCTCACATGCTCTGAAATTGAAGGCGGACAAAAATCGACTTTTATCTTACATTCAATCCAATTGATCCTCCCTAAGCTTGACGCCGCTGTGGAGGAAGACTCCACGGAGGCCATTGAATTGGCACGTCTTGCCGAGACCCTGGTCAGTAACCTGGAGTCGTCCGAGACGAGCGTAACTCCTATCCAACGAAGCGGAGATGTCATCGATGAAAAGCTTCATCAACTGTTCCAAATCTGCGTTCGGGGCATCATTCTCGCCGCCGGCAATGTTCACCTACGAGAGACCTTCTATAACATCTGCTCGCACTACATCTCCCGTGTGATTACCCCGGAAACGGCACACGGTGACACCAAACAGCATAGTTATCAGGTCATCAGGGCAGCGGGTCCGACTCTGATCGAAGCCGTATGTGACGATGCATATACTGGTCAAGAAACATGCCGTGTGTCGGCTCTTCTGTTATTGAACCTCTTGGCAGCCCTGGACAAACGAGAGGAATCTACGTTGGCAGAGTCCATGTCTCAGTCGAACTACTTGAGTCTATTCTTGGATGCTATTCGAACGCTTCCAATTGAGCTTAAAAATGCCCAAGCCAGTGGTAAGTCTATGCCGCAACAAAATGAAAAATGCAAGTCAAGCGTAAACATAGCTAACCCCCGGATCCAAGATACGCCCTTGCTGTTATCATATTACGAGTCTTTGTTGTCTCTCCTCCAACAACTTTGCCAAACTAAGAATGGCGCCATTCAAGTTCTCGGAACCGGTCTTTTCCAGGCAGTGCGTGATTCGCGACTGTTCGCGGCTGATCCTGATCTCGGTATTGGTTCGTATTCACTTTTCCCATGGAACGAAGGACTCCGGCTCTGACAATATCAGACATTGATAACCCTGATGCCCTTCGGAAGTACTATGACCTTCTACACTCGGTGCTCCGCGTCATCGTTTCCGCTGTATTCTCGCGCGGTCTTCACAACGAGCAGATGATGGAGCAAACGCGGGCCTTCCTTGCCGAGAACAGACAAAGCATGGTCGGTATATTCAAACGAGTTGCCAAGATTGGAGGTGCAGGCGCTCCAGATCATCACAGCGCTCTCGGTGACCTGGCGAAGTCGTATATGGCGCTCATCGCTGCTACGGATTTTCTAGAGGTATGTATCGTCACAAACAATGCCACTGCTCATTTGACTGATATCATTTCTAGTTTGAGGATGTCGAAGTAAAGGAGCAAATGGGTGCCAATCTTTTCTCCTGAAAAAAATGGAATAAAACATCTACAAACGTTTGGGGGAGTTTATGGAAATGATGCATATGAATTAGCTAAGAGGCTGTGGCGACCTACCCTCACATTTAGACCTGCGAGGATGAAAATAAAACAAGCATTTAACCCAAAAAAAAAAAAAAAAAAATCATTGAATAATTATTTAAATACACTCTGGAAGCCATCTACAATTTGTTGGTATTTTGTAGATTTGGCTGGTTTGCCTATATATACTCAGTGGGGAGAATCGGCAGACGGACGTATTATCTTATCTCCGACTGACCAACGTCAATGCAACTGCGGAGTGCCTGCCCTCCTTTGATCGTCAAGACGCATTTGCCAGCACCATCCCATCACACAACCCCTTCCTTTCATCCGCTACCCTTAGCGCAACATACTCATCGCGCTTCGTCGAATCTCAAGCCAATTTTGCCATGACCTGTTGATCTTCAGTGCCGTCTGGAGCTTTTCGACGCTGAGCGCTCTCCACCGTCCTCGCCCTGGGCAGAGCCGAGTCCATGCCGCAGCCATCGAGAGGCGCCACCGAGCAGAGGAGCGGCAAGCGCAAGTCGACCGGTAAAAGGAAGCTTTCTGACCAGGAGGAGACTACGCGGAATCCTCACAATCAACAAGCGACTATCTCGGAGCTCCTGTCCAAGAATCATACCACCTACGACCAAGACCATCCTCATCCTCACCGGCAGTCGTCCCTGACAACTAAGCGTCCGCGATTATCGCCTTCCCCGTCGGGTGTCCAATCTGCATCGAATCCACAAACTCCATCCTCTTCCGACAGAATGTACAATTTCGCAAACCAAGAATCTCGAACCAGCGGACCGTTCGGACAGGCTGCGTCCGGGTCACATACCCTTGGTGGAGCTGCGAAAACTCGATTATTCAACACAGCATCACGTCAGAGCAACTTTACACCTCACACGGGCGCAAAAAAACTGGTTGTAAAGAATCTTCGAACAGGATCGCGATTCAACCAAGATTCGTACTTCGAGAAGGTCTGGAGTCAACTTGATGCGGCGCTGGCGGCGATCTTCAATGGTGGAAAGCCTGAGGTATCGTTGGAAGAGCTTTACAAAGGGGCAGAAAACGTGTGTCGTCAAGGGCGAGCGGCTCAATTGGCCAAGCAGCTGCAAGACCGATGTCGAGGTCATGTGTCTGGAAAGCTACGCGATACACTGGTGGCAAGAGCAGAGAGCGGCGATAACATTGATGCGTTAGGAGCGGTAGTTGAGTCGTGGGCAACATGGCAATCCAAGCTGGTATGCGGTTCTTCCCCTTCCATCTGCCTGTCTGATTTGAACTCACTTCCTTTCTTTGTTTTTTTAGGTTACCGTTCGGTGGATCTTCTACTACCTCGATCAATCATTTCTTCTTCACTCCAAAGACTATCCCGTTATCCGCGAAATGGGTCTTATCCAATTCCGAAACCACGTATATTCCGACCCAGCACTGAAAGCGAAAATTTCACAAGGTGCCTGTGATCTAATTAGAGCCGACCGCGATGGAGATTCGAGCATCATGGCGGACTCGTCATTACTTCGGAAAGCGATCGAACTGTTCCACGGTCTCGACGTTTATGCGGATGGCTTTGAGCCTCTCCTCATTTCCGAGTCGAAGAAGTATTTCGCATCATGGGCCCAGCAGGAAGCATCGGGATACCTCGCCACATTTGCCGCAAATAGCCATAATTTGATTGAACGAGAGGTCACCCGGTGTGAGCTATTTTCGCTCAATCGAAGCACCAAGCAAAAGTTGTCTGAACTTCTGGATCAAACGCTAGTGCTGGATCAGCAATCAGTCCTCCTCAATCAAGCTGACATCCTTGGCTTGCTACGGACGGGGAACAAGATTGCTCTAGAGAAACTCTATTCTCTCCTCGAACGGAAAGATCTTGGCGCGAAACTGAAAACAGCGTTCACCAGCTTCATCGTTGAAGAAGGTGGTTTGATTGTTTTCGATGAGGAGAAAGACGCGGAAATGGTTGCTCGCCTGCTCGAGTTCAAACAGCAACTCGACGAAACTTGGATTCACTCTTTCCATCGAAAAGAGGAGCTAGGTCATGGTCTCCGCGAAGCCTTCGAGACATTTATGAACAAGGGAAGAAAGTCCCAGGCAACCGGGGGGACCGACAATCCAAAGACCGGCGAGATGATCGCCAAATACGTAGACAGACTACTAAAGGGCGGATGGAAATTGGCACCCGGGAGAAAGGCTGAGGATATGCCACTTGCGGACGAAGATGCCGAGATCGATCGACAACTTGACCAGGTTCTCAACCTGTTCCGTTTCGTGCATGGAAAGGCGGTCTTTGAGGCCTTCTACAAGAATGATCTCGCCCGTCGCCTGCTCATGGGTCGGAGTGCCAGCGACGATGCCGAAAAGAGCATGTTGGCACGACTTAAGACAGGTAAGTACCGTGACGTTCTTGAATGCGTTCAAGTGTTATGATGAAGGCTAACACTGATAAATAGAATGCGGGTCCAGTTTCACTCATAATCTGGAGTCCATGTTCAAGGATATGGATGTAGCGCGCGATGAGATGGGGGCATACAGTTCTATTCAGCGTGAACGTCAACACCGACTACCAGTCGACCTTAGCGTCAGCGTGCTGTCAGCTTCAGCATGGCCGACATACCCGGATGTTCAGGTGCGGATACCGCCCGAGATCGCAACGGCTACCACCGACTTTGAGAAATTCTACCATGGCAAGTATAATGGGCGCAAGCTTCACTGGAAACATCAATTGGCCCATTGTCAGCTGCGGGCCAGGTTTCCCAAAGGAGACAAGGAATTGGTTGTCAGTTCATTCCAGGCGATCGTGTTGTTGCTGTTCAACGATCTCCTCGAAGGCGGGACGCTCAGCTATTCTCAGATTCAGGAAGCAACCAAACTATGTCAGTCTTCCTTCCTCGAGTTCCTTGTAAGCATTTACTGACAGATATTCTTTCTTCTAGCCGACCAAGAACTCAAACGGACGCTTCAATCGTTGGCATGCGCCAAGTACCGAGTGCTCAGCAAGAAGCCGAAAGGCCGGGAGGTCAACACGACAGACGAATTTTCATACAATGCCGGGTTTACCGACCCGAAGATGCGGATCAAGATCAATCAGATCCAGTTGAAAGAGACCAAGGAGGAGAACAAGACAACACACGAGCGCGTGGCGGCCGACCGGCATTACGAGACCCAAGCAGCGATCGTCCGAATCATGAAGAGTCGCAAGACCATTACGCATGCGGAATTGGTGGCCGAGGTGATCAAGGCTACCCGAAGCCGTGGCGTGTTAGAGCCTGCAGATATCAAGAAGAATATCGAGAAGTAGGTGTTTTCCTCGTTTTTTGATCTAGCAACGCGAGGCCACGTTTACTGACTGCAGCAACCAGGTTGATCGAAAAAGACTACATGGAGCGGGAAGAAGGGAATCGGTACCAATATGTGGCATAACGTGTTTATAAGACTGCTTGACTTGTCCACTGGGTACTTTGGGAGGCCGACGTGACGATCACATACGGAGTAACTAGGTCGTACCTTTAGTTTTTAGTTTCACTTTCTTGTTTGCAATAATGTAGCCGCCATATGGCATGATGAACTAACGACGGATCGTTGGCTTAGGAAGCAACTATTTTACTTATTTGATTCGTTCGTTCGTTAGTTCGTTACCCACCCATCGTACTTTTCCTGTTCCCATGATTCTCTAGCCTACAGTAGCAGAAGCGGAGGAATCGAGACAACTCCGCGACCCCACCAAAGGTTCCAGGTTCTACCTACCGGTTCTCACGGAATAGTTCATTTGTATGGAGTAGTCAGCTAGGAGTAGGGAGTACGGAGGGCTCCGCAGTAGGTCTCGTGAATGAATTGAATAGTCATTGATACCTGATTGCCTAACTAAATCCAGTGGAGCAAGCAAACCACTCAATGAATCGACCCATCAAACCCAGGAAATCATAAATCAAATTATTAACTAATCGTTGACCATATTATGGGAGTAGGTAGGTAGGTAGGTGGTAGGTGGTAGGTATCAATGCATGCATCATGACTCCCGGCGGGAAAGTAGGTATGGACAGGCAGGGGCAGAGCACTCGCCCGAGAAAGTCGACGGACAACTCGGCAGAGAAAAGATGGAACAACACTCTGTCCGATGTCTGACTGTACGGTGTAAGGCAGGTGGGTGTAGGTGTAATATCGCCGGAACGGGTAAGAAAATCAACAAGAGAGTAAAAATTCCCCGGGGCCAAGAAAAGAAAGGGACGGGGAATGCGGAAGGAAGACGAAACGGTCTGGATTGGGGGGCGAATCCGGGTCTCACGTGGATGGCAATCCCAATAATCGATATGAGACGATCCCTACAGCTGTATGTTCTACACGTTAGCTAGGCCTGGAGATTGGAAATAGAACTACGATTACTGTGTACGGTGTACGTACGCTCCTTTATTAGCAAGGTAGCTCCCTGTTTAGCTCCCTGTTCGAGGGTCGACCGGGGAGCTGGCCTGGAACCCGTGGAAATTGGTTTCAAAAAAAAGTGGTTCCCCGCTAAGATCTGACAGCGGAGAAGCCTTTTTTTTCTAAGGTCCCATGATCCTCATTCTGTTGGGATACCTATGACGGTACTTCGGTTCCCTTTCTCGCTTCTATCTGGAACAGTCGTACGTACCCCCCTTGTTGTTTGTGCCTTCTCTGGTCAGTAAGGATCGATTGCGGAATTATTCTGCTGCCAATCACACAAATATGTAGTGAGGAAATTTTTCTTTGCTATTTTTTATTTGGCCAGCACAGCGGTATGGACGTGATAGCAGTTACGCGGCTAAGTTACCGACGGAGACGGTAGAGTCTATAAATCATATGTATGCAGCTGCACGGCGCAGTGCCTGGATTCCCAATGGCAACACACACCCTCAACAACACTCCAGTGGCAACCATTCAGGGTTCCAGGTACCTCTCGACCGACATACCGACATACCGACATACATACTCCCTACACACAC